TTATACCCTTCTTATTTTCTCTGACTGAAATCGTGGGCTATAATATCAAATAGATCTCTGCCTGTGTGACTGGACTATTAAGCTCACTAATTGTAAGGTTTGACCTGTCCAAAGACCATAGGACTCACTCTCGGGCCATGACTTTTCCTATTCTCAAATCCTTGATAAACTTATAGAGATAGTTAAATTCTTATCCCTTGATAAATTATGGAACAGTCTCTCAACAAACTATAGGACAGGCTATGTCCTCGTGCATTAGAAAGCAGCTAAAAATATCATATAAATTTTTAAATACTCATCTTCCTAGACGAATTCTTACTAATTGATCATGCCATGTACGATACTTCTTCTTTTCACAATTTCTTTTATTCATTAATAACACATTGGGTTTACGATAATACACTACCCAAGTGAGTATCAATCTTATTATCACATATACCACATATATTTACCATTTTCCATTTCAACACAATTATCTTCAACCTATTACACTTAACCACCGTCCAAATATATCACACCATTCATCAATTACTCATTATAATACCACATTAAAATTTGACATTCATTTCAAATTCACTTTCACATCTTTAGTTCACATCAAGCAAATATACTATCTCATATTTTATAACATGTTTACATATTCACACATCACAATCATACAAGCCAAGACATACATTTTACCTTATAATGCAATTAATAAACAATTACCTAAAATAGAATTTGCCTAATTACCTCAAACTTTTGAGAGGTTAAAGGTTTATCCCTCAATAATTATCTTTCAAGCTTGATTTCCCAAGCTAAAATGGTGCCCAAATGCTCAATCGATATTTATTCACTTCTAAACTCAACAACATTGTCAAGAGCACAATTTCAACTCTCACACTTTCACTTTTACAACATCCAACACTCTTATTTCTCGCTTTTGAACTTACCCATTGGGTTTAATAACTTCTTTAGTTTCCAATAGCATCATTAATCATTTCCAATGCCATTAATGTCCCAAAAATCTCCATTAATCCCAATTAAATGCTCATTTTCGAGTATTAATGAGGCTCACCAACTTAAGATGTCAAAATTCATTTTTTCAAGGTTTAAATACTCTAAAAAACTCCAATTAACTCCATTTAAGTCAATGAATTTGGACCCATAATCTATATGAATCAAAAATCATCTTTCATTTCCAAACCCTAATAAAAAACTTCAAGAAAGTGGAAGAGAATGGAAGAATAACACCAAAATACTCCCAAATCACCAATGTGACAAACCCTAGCAGAGTAAAGATGAGCTCATTCATTTTCCTCATCATCATCATCATCATCTTCTTTTTGTCTTAGTTTACGAGGCACAAGGAGGCCCTTTTGCTTCAGTGGTCATTTATGTGTTGCAGCGAACATGTTGTATGCCGCGACATATGACAGACATAATTCTTTATGTTTTCCTCCTCCTTTTGATACTCGGGTGGCTCAACTTTATTACGGATCCATAATTAGGGCTAAAATTACAACTAATTACATATATTAGATCTCTCTGACTACACACCACATCAAATCATTCAATTTTTATAACTAAACTTGATTAATTTCTTAATAATCTAATAATTAAAATTTGAGATGTTACACCATGCTATGAGAACCAAACTATTGTTTGAGACTAAAAAGAAAATTCAGTTATTAGTTGATAGTTTTAGAATCTTTTGAGAAAATAATAGTTGTATAATCATGGCTGATGATTGGAAAGATCAAATAAATAGACAATTGATTAACTTTCTTGTCTACTCTCATAAGGGAATTATTTTTATTAAATATGTTGATGCATCAAGCATAGTCAAGAATGCCCATAATTTGTGCAACTTGTTCATAAAAATGGTTGATTTTGTTGGAATTAGAAATGTTATGCACTTGGTACCTAATAATGTAGCTAATTATAAAGTTGCTGGGAGGTTTTTATATAACAAATTTTCTTTGATTTTTGGGTCTCCTCATGCTACATTGTTTGAATTTGATTTTAGGAGATATTGGTAAAATGAAGGTTATGAATAGCTTAGCAACACGTGCATCTATGGTGTCATAGTTTATTTACAATCATGCTTTTTCCCTTGCTTGGATGAGAAAAAGAGAAGGTTGGACAAAAATTATTTGTCCTAGAGTGACATGGTTTAGTATCACTTTATTGCATTGAAAATTATTTATGAGTACAAACATGATTTGCAAGCCTTAGTAAAGTGTTTACAAGTTCTAGATACTCAAAAGGGGAAAAGGAAAATGATGTGACTTTGATTGTGTTGGATAGTCATTTTTAGAATGATTGTAAAATTGTGGTCTAAATTATTTCATCACTTATTTGATTATTAAGAATTGTTAATGCTGATATGAGACCTTCACTTGGGTATGTACCTGATGGCATGTATAAGGCAAGAAAAACTATCAAGAATATATTAATGAACAAAAAAAATCTTGTACAAGCCTTATATAAGGATTATAAGAAAAGGTGAGATACTCAACTTCATCAGAAGCTTCATGCAACATCTTATTTCTTAAATCTTATATTCTTTTATGATAAGCAAAACTTTTCTAAAGAACTAGAGGTTACGGTTGGATTTTTTGATGTTTTGAGTAAGACAGTCACTACTAACAAAACTAAATTTGTGCAAGAAAGTTTGTTGTATTAAAATAGAGTTGACAGCTTCAATCATTCTTTAGCCATTTCATCTACAAACACACTACGGCTAGGTAAATTTTATTTTTTATTTAACTATAATACTTCTTATAGTTCTTACTTATGTTTATCTTGGATGCTAAATTTCATAGATGAATGATGGAAAATGTTTGACGATAGTGCACCAAATATTAAAAATTGGCAATGAGACTATTGAGCCAAACTTCATCTTCATCTGGTTGTGAAAGAAATTGGAGTGTTTTTGAAAGAATACATTTTTAAAAAAATAGGTTGGAGCATAAAAGGTTAAATGATCTTTTATTTATTCATTACAATTTTCGTTCGAAAAATAGGTATATTATTTAATCATTGCTAAACTTTACTCCAATTTGTTTAACATAAGTTTAATTATGAGTTCTTAACTTCTAATACTTTCGTATTGTGATGTGTTTTAAAGTTTATAATAAGAAAAGATCTTTTGATCCTAATAATTATGAAAGTATTGATGATATTGAGTATTGGATCATGGAAGGTGAAGATTCTCTTGCCCTTAATTATGATGAGGTAGAAGAAACCACGCTTTGTGATGATAAAATAATTCCACAACTTTCTATCAATCAAGATGAATGTTTGATCTTTGATATTTTTGATTTAGTCAAGTTATTTTATACTTATATTATATGTTACTTATTAATTTCAATAATTGATTTGTTACACTATTTAATAAAAGAAATAATGAAGAAAGAGGCAATGAGGTTTAGGTTGAGTGTGGATGTTTTATCATGGAAGGATTTAATTTGGGATCTTTTTTCCAAGAAGATATTGAAACTTATAGTGATGATGATTTTAGGAAATTCATGCTTCACTTAATCATGATCCACTAATCTTTGACAAGTCATGAACATATAAACATGATGTTATGCTTGTTTAAGTTGTTGACGTATTGTGTTGTTTTGCCTTATTAGTTGTTACTTTGTAATATGATGAATTTGACTACTTGACTTGTTATTTTAATCATTTAATGTTATGTTATATTATGTAACTTGTTAAGTTATGATAAACTTAAAATATTTAAATTTATTTTTAAGTTAAATAGAAATTTCATATTTATTTCTTATATTTATATTATTATATACATGTATAATTTTTTAAATTTAATTATTACGTTACATGTTTGACTATTGGTCCAATCCAATTGAACTATATGAACTGTAAATCATTGGCTTTTTGGTTTAATATTCGGTTGATTTTGAAAATACTGGTGCTTATGAATGACAACAAAGACAAAAGGATCAAAGAAGGCAAAATTGCCAACGATAGGTAAAATTAGTAGAGTCAAAATATTAAAATCAATAGAATAAAAAAAATATAAAATTTACATGCTTTACATGCAATTTTTGCAAAAATAAGTTGGGACAAATGCCCACCCTCATTAGCATGGAAGCAATATCCATTTGAGATGGTGAAAATATAGCAAGAGGTGAGTAGATATTTAAAGTTCAAACCCTCCTCATATAATAATAAAAAAAAAGAAAATGATATCCAAGTCTATTTTAAAAGAATTATTAACTTTTTTTTTTTGGTCTCATGAAATGACTTTTTTTCTAAATTAACAATTCTAATATACTGCATGAACAAATTTTTTCTTTTTTTTGAAATAGGATCCAAAATGTTAATAATTTATTTATAAGGAACCAAAATCATATCATCTTAAAAATCCAATTTTTTTTTTCTTTCAATATCAATCGCATTTTCTTTCCAACTGAAAATGGCTTCACTTGCAATTTGCATGGAATATCACAAACCATGTATTCCACATTATTAATTATTATTTTTTAATAAAAAGATATGATCCAAAGAAAATGAAAGAAGGGACTCGAGAAAACTCTTATGTAGACCAAATAAGAAAAGATGGATTTTTAGGAATGAGAATTGAGGGGGATGCAAATAATCAGCCAGAATGTGAAGCCACAAATCACTAAGCACCATCATTCAATATCAAGGACCCAAATAGGAAAATCTAACAAAACCGGTGCACAAAATCCCATTTGCTTACTAGAAATGAATAAAATGAAATAAATTGAAAAAAAGAAGAAGATAAAAACAAGATGACAAGAGATAGATAAACATGTTCTTAAAGAGAAAAGTAATTTAATTTATAAAATTGAAAATCATGATTTATGATATGAAATTTTTGAAATGTGTAATGATTCTCACACTTATAATATATATTAATGAGTTTTACCATACTTATCATATTGGGAAGAGTGATTTAATTTATTTTTGTTTTAACTTTTTCAACCTATCCCATTCTACTCCTTTCTATTATTCAAATGGGACCAAAGTTTTTCGTTCGTAGCATGCTAGCAGTTCCGCAGGATAGGTAAAATGCAACATACATATAGTTCGCCTAATCCAAATGTGCTATCATTTTCGCACTCTACTCAATGCATACACAAGTATTCGAATGGCAGGGGCAAGGATATAGTAAAGCATCAATAAAAAGCTACAGGGAACTAAGGAAATCCTTCATCAGCCTCAAAATGGGACTTGGGCAAGGATATCCTTCCAATCTCTCAAGCATGATTGCATCCATCCGGGCTTGAACTCCATCAGAAAATGTCAAGTCCTGAAGCAGTTCCTTCAATGTATTATCTACTTCAGCCAGGGTATTCCCTGCGCCACTTAAAATCTCTGCGAGAGAAGGTCGTGAAAGTTCCACAAGAGTAACCTGGCACAGGTCAAGCACATTTACCAGGTAAACTAGCGACTCTTGGAACCAAACTCAGCTTATAAAATGGCTTTACTAAGCAAACCTGTCTGTCTTGAGGTATATTAGCCTTCAATTTCGCTATGGCAATAGCTCGAGAAAGCCCACCAATAGCATCAACCAAACCGTGTGAGGCTGCGGCTTTACCACTCCAAACTCTCCCCTGCGCAACCTCCTCCATCCTTTCTACCTGATCACAAAGTGTAGCTTTAACTTAGACTTACCAAGAGGATGAAGAAAGAAGGGGGTGGAGCTGCATATCTAAAACAAAAACGCACAGTCATTGATCTAGAAAAAGCCGCCTTATCTCGAAATTGTTTATAAATATGCTGTGCAGACTTGGCAAATAGCTCGGCTTCGTCTGGTCTGTACAAAAATAAAAAAGAAAAAACTGATAACATGTCTTCCTTATGAATCATATATTACTGACAACACAAGTAACAGCCCTGGAAATTATACCATGAATTAAACATGAGAGGGTAAGAATAGCATTTGAAACATAAAATTCAGCAGAAACAAGGAAATAGAGACAAGCAGGCCAGATAAGTAAATCTGCATAGAAGTCATATACCAAATTTTACAGCCCTGGTGCATTGTGCACACCTGAGGTGACCTTGTAGTGTCTAGAACTAGACATTGGGATTACTCCATGGAATTTCTCTTCCTTTTCTACAATCCACTTGCAAATACCAACTTGATGATGTTTTTCCAAAATGATGAATAGAGAAACCCCACAGTGGCGATTCCAGCTACACATGTTAGAATATTGAGTATGTGATGGATGGGTAACAAGTGTCTTGATCAGAAGTAATAGATTTGGTTTGTACTATTTGTACTATCCCTCATACTTGGTTTATAATTATAAATGGGTTAAAGTTCATTTTTACCCCTAAACTATTCTCTGAGAAATATCCAATGCCTTAAATTATTTGTCATTGCAATTTCACCCCTAAAGCAATTAAAACGTAGCATATTTGACCTTCATGTTAAACACCCCAATGTTAGATTGTTAAAAATGCTAACAGGTGGCATTTTCGGTCAAACTTAAGTCCTAATCAGCATTTTTAACAGTCAACCCTGGATTATTCAACATCAGAGGACAAATATGTTACGTTTTAATTACTTTAGGGGTGAAATTGCTATGACAAATACTATAAGACATGGGTGCTCTTCAAAAAATAGTTTAGGGATAAAAATGTACTTTAACCCATTATAAATTGACCCATAGGATACCTAGCTAAGCAAGTCAATAATCCCATTCAGAGTGTTCTTCATTTCTCCTCTAGGCATAAGAGCGAGTTTGATGAAAGAGCCATACTTCTTCAATTGCTTTAATCCGAACAGGGGGAAAAAACTGCTTCCATTTCTGGGCTGAAGCTTTATTGACTTCTCTAAGGGAGCATACGTTCAATATTGAATGCATCTTTTATGTTTTCATTTATTGAATATGTCTCTTGGGCCACTTCAAAAGTTTCTTTTGCTTTTAAATAGAGCTGGGAATACGGGCGGGCCCGGCCCTAAAGGGCCTGGCCCTTATGGGCTCGGCCCTTTAGGGCCTGAGCCCTAAAGCCCGGTTTCCCATTTTGACCCCCATTTCTCAAGCCCGGCCCTCATACTCAGGGCTCAGGGCCAGGCCCGTAAGCCCTTTCTTAAAAAAATAAAAAAATTAAAATAAAATTAAACATTATAAATAAATTAAAATATTTTAAAATTAAAAAAATTAAAATCATCATAATTTTTTAAAAATTAAATAACATACATTAGAAGTCTAGTAATAAAATTTAAATCTTCATTTAAAAAATAGTTTATTTTTTTTATAAATATACAAACATAATAATTATAGAAAAATAAAAAATATCATAAATTTTATACTATACACTGATATTTATTAAATTAGATTAAATTAATTTTAGAATAAATTAAAATTAATAATAATATAATGTGTGTAGGATCAGGTGAGCAGGTCATTGGTTTTAAATACATATTTTACTAAAAAAATAATAATAAAAATAATATAACAGGGCTTGAAGGGCAGCCCGGGCCCGAGCCCTATTTTACAGGGCTTATCAGGGCCAAGCCCTCAAGCCCGATTACTTTAAAAAAAATTTATTTTCAAAGCCCGAACCCTTATTTAAACAGGGCTTTCAGGCCCGGCCCTCCAGGCCCGGCCCTTATTCCCGGCTCTACTTTTAAACGACTTCCTAATAATTTCATGCAGGAAAATTATGAAGGCAATATTTGCCTATTAGGGTTATGCTTCCCTTCTCAAACAGAGAGGGATCCTAACAGTTGACATATCAGATGGCAAAGTAACTGGTTAGTATGGCGTCGTTTCTCCAGAACTTTAAACCTGAAATATATTACCTAAAAGGACGTTGTTCAGCAGCAAGGACCTCAGCATATTTTCCCCTTGATATGATTTCCTTGTTGAAGCCAATCTTCTCATACAGTTTCCCCAAGTTAAATCTTCCTATAAGAATTAATCTCTATCATCAAATTAACTCCAAAATTGAACTGAAATACAAGGACGCCATCATACTGACACTATTAGTTTCATAAGTCCGCCCCTCTTCTTTCACCTATACATCATACAGTTTTCTTGTTATGTCTTTTAAATGTTGGGGTCAAAGATTGTTAATAACCTCTTTGCGCTCCTCTCCTTCTACTTATAAAACACTCAGGTTCACCTGTGAACACTCCAATTGATCCAGTTAAGGTAAGATTTTCTGCTACAATAGCCCCAGCTCCCATTGCCATGTAGTAACCTCCACTTGCTGCAACATCAGACAATGAGGCAATGACTGGTTTCGAGGCAGCCAAAAGCCTGATTTCTCTCCACATCCTGCGATTTTGACACCACAAAATGATCAACGATCAGCTATTGATACAGATTTCCCTTTTGACTCCATCCATTTTCCCCTAAACAAAACCGCCAAAGAATTTAGCATTCTATTTATACCTGAGATCACATATGTATTTCAATTTTAACAAGATCATTAAGGACATGATTGAAATAGCAGCTGAAAAATGCTTTATTTAAATTAAATATGTCTAAATGAAGCTCACCATTCGTAAATATCCATTCTACTTGTTTGCAACCAAGAATTTCAGACCAACACAAAATATTTTGTCTCATTTATTAAATCCAAATTTAGCTGAGACAACAACAAGGGAATTTTTCAGCACTTACAAATCAGAAGCAAGGGCATCACCACCAGGACTGTCAATTCGGATAATAGCAGCTTTATATTGTTTTGACACTGATGAGCAAAAAAACAACCAATGTGACCAAAAGAAAAACTATAACATACATATAACCAAGCGTTCAAAAAGTTTATTAAGCATGGGACTCAAAATGTGGAGGGAGCTTCTAGTTAGAGGAGCATCACTCATTATAGACCTTTCTTCACACCATATCTAACCACTTTCAGCAAGAAACGTTCACTTGGCCATTTTTCTATTCAGGTGCAACTTGTGAGGCCAAGGAAAAGTCAAGAATAAGCGTTGCGTACAGGAAAGTATCTTGACCATGGGTAATTAATATCATAGTGCAGAGATGAGAGAATTCTACCACTTTGTACAAGAAGCATTCACTAGGCCAATTTTCTATTCAGTTGCAACTTGCAAGACCAAGGAAAAGTAAAGGGTAAATGTTACTCGCAGGATGAGGAAAGCATTTCAGTTTTTGACTGTAGGGATTTCATAGAATGTTACCGGAATGAAAGAGAATTCTACCAGTTACCATATATCCATGCCATATTGTAGTATTTAGAGCTTTAAGTTCTTGACTTTGGCTCATTCAACATCCCAAACTATAAATGGAATGGCTTGCACAAAGATCTTGGTGGGCACATAAATTTGGACAGTTACATGCCAAAAGTTACTGGCTACCCCACTTCTATTGAACTCCTTCTGAAACCTACAAGCTATTTGACATGCGTACTTCAGTAGGGAGTTATAAGCAGAGTGCTTTATGTTAATTTTAGGACTTCAGCTTGCAAAGGCAATGTTATACAATCTCGATAATGAGAAAATCATGCGGAATTTTAGGTGTATTTGGAATGTGGGTTTAGACTTTCAGAGTGCAGTCCAACCACTCTGTAGTTTCCCTTTTTCAGTGGTATTTCTTTACAATCTTCACCCATGAGCAAAGACTAAGTCAAAACACAAATAGTTCTTCTGGGAGTCATTTTTTATCAACACATCATTAAATGAAGAGACCTAGAAAGTCACATTTCTGCGTATCAACCTCGGGTTTCCTCTAGCCAATGTGTTTTTTTTTTGCCTGTGCTTGAAATATAACACGCAGGCCCCACACCTAGTTGTGACAATAATTCTACAAGGAAAATATCTATGATGATGCATGATGATAACCTCAAAAATCAATGCAATGCAGCTTAATTACACTTCACAGTCGAGTGTACCTCTTACTTTGCGAATCTTCTCAATGAACTGCTCAGCAATAATACCTGATCTAGACAAACTCAATGAACTCTTGACACGACTAATGCTCCCAGAGGCTCGGATGATGGCTATCAGGTCTTTACCACCTGATATTCCAACAGTCCATCTCCTAACTCTACAGTATTTCCTATGTTTATTGAGAAAACAAAATAGCTTCAGACAATCAATACAACTTATTCAAGGTAGCATCAGTAACCAATAGAAGTCAAGTGAGAAACAGATCATGGTAAGTAACAGGAAAACTGTAATTTACATCAAGTTGCCACAACTTGTAAGAATTAAAAAAGGTTCCTTCTCCATCTATATGAATACAAGTTACAAACCCCAGATTTCCTGTACATTGTAATTGTTTCCAAATTCACAGCAATTCCAGACAAAAAAGTATGGGAGAATAACTCTAAGGTCCCACTCATGTGCTGTTATTCTCCTAAGCTCAATTGTCGATGGACTTGAGAGTAATTAATTGCAATGAGTGGGACTTGTATGTAATTCTCCCAAAAGTATTACCAAATAGGCTTTAGATATCATCACAGGAGCAGCAGTATATTAGACTATTAGTCATGCTTTTGGTAATTATTTGAAGTTTTTTTTTTTTTTTTGGTTGAACGACCAATTACTTGAAGATTGTTTAAACATGTAATACCTGGTCCTCATATAATAAATTATAATTGCCCCTACATTTAAGCCTGTAACACCTCTTAACCCTTAAAGCATAAAGGTGAGGAGAAAATATGATTCCAGATTGTTATCCGCCAGAAAAGAAAACTAAAGAAGAGAGCAACTAGCCTAAAAAACTATTGATGGGGGAAATTATGTGCAGTTATTTGATTGGGAAAATTATAACAACCATGAAGAATAGCCCGATGGTGAATATAGAAGGTTAAATTTTTAACTACTCTTAATCAAAGATCAGGAAGAAACTTTTATGAAAAATATAAAATGACAATGACTAGAAACCTCACAAGGCAAAGGATGTGTTCAGACTTTCTTTGGACATTCCCAGAGGTGACTTTCCCAGAGAAATAGCATAATTTATTCAATACCATTACCAGAGGCAAAACAAAAGAAATTGGAGACCTGTAATCCACCAAACGCAGACTTTCATTTGTTTTTAACCTGAGTTTCCCCCTCAAGCCAGCAATAACCTGCAAAACATTGTATATTGCATATCCTTTAACCCCCCCCAATGATATTGCTACATTTACATCCTTAAAAAAATTATATGTACCATTGTCAATAGTCAGTACATAGTAACATAGTCAACTGTGAGAATGGTAAAAGCCTTCCTGAATTAGTTGAAGTCGTCAAATAAAGCCAACATACTCTGAAGGGAAAGGGATGATAAACTCCCCTCAAACTTTAGATTTCAATTTGAAATCTATCAGTAGGAAATATTCTATATATGATTATACAGTAATAACAGAGAGCTAGCAGATACAAGCTATCTTCTGCATAAAATAACTTAAGAATTTTGTACCTCATCCTCATACATTATGTTCGTAATGAAGCCTTCTTCTTTCAACCTGTCTACTTGATAGACTCCTTCATTTATGAAATTCTCAATTTCTTCTCTTTTTATACCTGTATAAAATTAGCAGAAGTCCATAAGTTAATTAATTACATCAAGGTTTAATTACAACTACAAATGCAGGTGAACCTCTTGAAGAAGAGACTTTATCCAGCCAATTTGTATAGATATTGTCAAGCAGTGCAGTCAGCATCTCACAAGTTTCTTCAGACATGGTTCTACGGGTTAGCTGATCCCCTGCACTTTTGTATTTCCCAATCCGTTCAACTTGAGGTTCAATCCCTATGTTATCTAAAACACCTGAAAAGAAAAAAAAAAAAAGAAATTGTGTAAAAATAAACATTTGAGCCAGAATAAGGTATAGTCATCAAAGGACACCATCAACTTCAACTACAAAATAAAATGTTTCCAAACCAACCAAATCATAAGATGATGCAAAAAGCATTAAAATAACATTGGTGCAACTATTATAGCAGGGGTAATATGTATCAATTTACTAGAAAGACATATGGGCACCTAATTTATGAATAAGCTATATAATGAAAAACACAAATTGTCGGTGCCAAACTTCAGTTTGAACTATACAAACCTACACACTGAAAGACACATTAATTAAAAATAAAAAAACTGGAATAATTACATAAAGAGGAAACATACGGGTAAATCTCTTGCAGGAAGGGACAGTGCATGCCATGTGCAAAGTCTTTGCTAAAAAGGAATCACATAGCTGATAAGAATCTGAGTTTTAATGAGCAACAGATGCACATGGCTGCAAGCCGTATATAAAATTCTATTTTAGTTATTGAAACCAATTCCCTGACCCCCTAAAAAGAGCAATAAATCAAAACTTAATGATCCTATATCATTCCTCAAATCTTATAAACACGGAGAAGCAGAGTCAGCTTACCTCTAAGAAATGACGCTTGAACAGTGAAACCAAACAATGAAAAATAAGCACTTGGAGGGGCATATATTTCTTCACATGCACATGCAAGATAGTATTCTTTTTCTTGGCATGAAGGGACATAAGCCACAACAAATTTTCCTACAGAAGCCATTAGCCATCAGAACTTTTCACAACTAACAAATATCTTTTGTAATGGTCAAGTTTTTGGTTGAGAAAAGAAGTATTACAAATAACCTTGAAGATAAGTAATTCATCATGCATTACATGCATATAAAAACCAAAAGAGATCACAATAAAAAGCTGATGGAACCTTCACTCAGTAGCTGAAGATTTTGGAAGGGATAGGTTTTTACTTTTTAGCATGGTATCAAACCCTATTTGATCAAGTCCCAAGGACTTCAATCCTTGCCAACTACATTCTTCATCATAAAATAAAAATTCAACACATGGTATGGTGAGCATGAGTTTTGCCCGTGTTACAAGCTCAGAAGGCCTTCAAGGGAAACAATGTGTTAAAGGGATCAATAAATCAAGCTATGCTTTTTCCAAATTTTGACCCCAAAAAGATTCATGTGAGGATCAATTTTAGGGATATCAAAATAAGAACTCCACACATGGTATAAGTGGAGATATTATAACCGTTGTAAATATATTTTACTTATTAGTCATTATTAGGCTTTATTATTTTTGCATCACCTTGATGTATAAATACTTAGTTGTATCACAATATTTAGAAGTAATGAAAATATACATTTTTCTCTTAAACTATCCACAAGGTATCAGGGCCCTTAGGGTTTAAAATATTTACCTAGGATTTCTAGGCAGAGGTTCCACATGGCAATATGATGTCTCTGACTATGTGAATGTTGTGGTGGAGGGCATTTTAGCTCTCACCTCCAGCCTAGGGAGACTCGCCGAGGTCCAATTGGCCGGACCCAAAAGCACAACGAAGAATGGCGGCATGTAGAGCTCACACATGCCACCTAAAGAATATGCGCCAGTGATCGTTGGGCTGCACATGGGGGTGTGTGACCTACCTAGACAGACAGCAACACTTATTTTTGGCAACAACAACCTGTTTCCGATCATATCCATGGGTTGCTTGAGTCTAGGGAGCATTATTCAAAAGCTTTCTTGTCATGGGTGTCTTGTCCAATGCTGTATTTCATCCCTATGGCTAATCTTCAGTCCCTATTATGAACGTTTGTGTCTTGCTGACTCCAAAGTAATGTTTTTGGTTATTCTAAGCATTACGCTCTATGTTTATCTCCCATTAGTAAAAAAGAGTGCTCCAGCCACCAATTGAAGATGCAGCTATGTGATACATATTAGAGTCAGTGTCTTTGGTACTAGTGGCTAAAAAGGGTAACTTTCTTCAAGCCCTAAAAACCTCACACAACAAATCTTTGTGGATTGTTGATTTTGGAGCGTCAGACCATATGATTGATTGCTATCACTTGTTCTTCACCTCTACTCTATGCGCTAGGAATTTGAAAGTCAAAATTGCATATGGATCCCTTGCTCTTATTGCTAGGAAAGGGAGTATTCATCTCTCAAGTTCTATAATTCTGGAATCTATTCTTCATGTACCAAAATTAGCATGCAACCTATTATCTGTTAGTCCATTGACAAAGCAATTTAAGTGTTGTGCTAATTTTCCTCTAGCCCATTGTATCTTTTAGGATCTATTGTCGAGGTTGACGATTGGATGTGCTATAAAGTACAAGAGGCTCTACTTCTTCAACGATGCTGGACTGAGTCACCATTAAGCCATTAGGGTATGCAATTCTATATTGACCTCTAAAGATATAGATACTCTATTATGGCACAAGAGGATGGGTTATCCTAATTTTTAGTACTTATCTCGTTTGTTCCCATCTATTCCTCAACCAATAACTCTGATGTAAAATGTGAAGTGTGTGAACTTGTAAAGCACCATCGAACATCATTCCCTAGAGTCTCATACACACCCACCAAGCCTTTTACTACTATACATAGTGACTTGATGAGACCATCCCATATCCTAAACCATACCAAATCAAAATCATTCACCGCCTTCATTGATGGTCATACCTGTGTTTGTTGGGTTTAGCTTTTAAAGGACAAGTCTAAGGCCGTATCTATGTTTAGAAATTTCTTCACCATGATCAAAACCCAATTCCAAACAAGCATCCAAATTTTACACACTGATGATGGTAGTGAATATTTCAATCAATGCTTGAGTGCTTTCCTCCTCAAGAATGTTATTATCCATAGAATTACCAGTGCCCATACACCAATGGGGTTGTAGAGAGGAAAATAGAAATATTCTATAAGTTGCTAGAGCTCTCAAGTTCACTCACAATATCAGTGGTGGATCTAGGTTGAGTTGAGGGTGGGCAAATATCCCTACTCAACTTGAAAAAATTTACAAGTATACATTGTAACTTTTGAAAACTTGCATCCACTACCCCAATAATTTTGAACCCATAAAACTCAAAATATAACATATTTGAATTCTAAAAAACATTTAAGGTTTTGATATTTCACTTAAATCTTATATATTTTAAGATCTTGTTAAATTTAAATTTAAATTTTTATTTTTTGGTAATATAAATTTATATTATTTTTCATGGTATTTTAATCTTAATTTTTATCATTTTATATTTTATGCCCCCACTAATCCAAAGTTTTGCATCCACCACTATATAATGTTACAAAGTTTTATTGGGCTAATGCCGTTTTAACACCACCTACCTCATCAACTAAATATTTAGTTGTATATTATCCTCTGATACTCCTCTCCAAAAAATTGAAAAATGTTTTTTCAACATCTCATCTTGAAACCAACCTTTCTCTTCATGTGTTGGGGTGCACAACCTTTGTCTATATCCATCAAAACAGTAAACTTGGAGCCAATGCTACCAAATGCATCTTCCTTGGTTATTCTTCTACTCAAAAGGGGTTTAACTGCTTTGATCCTATTTCAAAAAACACATTTGTCAACCTTTATGTTACTTTTCATGAAAACACACCTTCTACCCCAAATTCTTCAATTCAAGAGGAGAGTATGGGTGAATCTCAAACATGGGAACAAGAAATGAACAATGAACAGGTACTTCTTGATTCTTGGTTTACACCTATAAAGCTGTTACCATCACAATTACAAGATTCATCACCATCATCTTCTACTACCATTTCTCCTTTGCCATCACCATCTCTTGTACCAGTTACAAAAGACAATTCAAAACCAGTGGGAAATGTAGAAAAGCATAAAGACAAAGACTTGTTGGTTTACTCACGAAGGCAAAAATCCAAGGAAGGAGAGGACCTTATAGCTGAGGCACCAAAAGGAATCAAAACCAGTGATAGCTCCTAAATCATCTTAGCAAATTCTTTAACATGTAAGTGATCAATTGATCTTGATTTACACATTACTCTCAGAAAACAACACCATTCTTGTACTTTACATCCAATTTAGAAGTATATATCCTACAAAGCTCTCTCTTTGAGTTACCGAGCATTTGTCACTAATCTAGATAAAGTTGTCATTCCCAACAACATCCAAGAGCCACCAGAAATACCAGAATGGAGAAATGCAATGACAAAGGAAATGCAAGCCTTTAAAAAGAATGAAACATGGGAGATTGTTGAAAGGCCTAAAGGCACGAAACTTATAAGTTGCAAATAGGCCTTTATCCTAAAGTATGAGGCCGATGGCACTCTTAACAAGTTAAAAACATGATTGGTAGCAAGAGGATTGGCTCGGACATATGGTCTTAACCATAAGGAAACTTTTGCCCTTGTAGTAAAGCTAAACACCATCAGAGTTCTTTTATTTGTGGCAGCCAACCTAGATTGGCCACTCCATCAATTGAATTTTAAGAATGCCTTTCTAAATGGAGAACTAAAAGAAGTATACATGACCCTACCTCTAGGGTTTGATAAAGGCTGAAGTGGTCAAGTGTGCAAGTTGAAGAAATCCTTGCATCGTTTAAAACAATCTCCTAAGGCATGGTCTGACAAGTTCTCAAGAATTTTAAAGCTTGAAGGCTACAAACAAGGGTTGTCAAATCATATGATATTTGTTAAAGCTGAGGGAGGTAAGAGATGCATCTTTCTTGTGTATGTTGATGACATAATTCTCACAGGAGACCATTTTGAGCAAATAGCAAGAGTCAAGACTGCTTTTGGAATAAAATTTGAAGTCAAAGACCTTGGGAGCTTGAAATGCTTTCTAGGGATGGAAGTTGCAACGTCAAAGAAAGGCATCTATGTATCTCAAAGGAAGTATGCACTTGATCTTTTGAAGGAAACATGTTTGTTGGGTTGTAGGCCTATTGAAACTCCTATTATGGTTTCAAAGGAAAAAAAGCCTAAAAAGAATAGTAAGGAAGAGTCCAAAGAGGAAGAAGTTTCTAATGATGAAGAAGACAATGAGGAAGAAGACGTCATAAACAAAGAGATATCAGAGACTTGTTAGGAAGCTGATTTATCTCTCTCATACAAGACTAGATATAGCTTTTGCAGTAAGTTTAGCTAGCCAATACATGTCTGAGCCAAAGAAGAAGCATATGGAAGCAACTTACTAGATCTCTAGGTATCTAAAAGGCATTCCTAGTAGAGGACTATTCTTCCAAAAATAGGAACAAAGAACCATAGAGGTATGCACAGATGCAGATGGGGGAGAAACTTATCCTAATAAAAGATCAACCTCTAATTATTGCTCTGTTGCGTGGGGAAATATGGTTACCTGGAAGAGCCAAAAGCTCAAAGAATAATGGAATAATTATGGCTGGAATAAGTCTTGAAGGAGATACATGTCAAGGTGGACTTACCACTAAAACTCTATTGTGACAATAGAGCAGCTATAAGCATGGCCTTGAATCTTGTTCAACATGAGAGATCCAAACATATAAAAGTGGACAAGCATTTTATTATAGAAAAAGTTGAAGAAGGAATTATATGTTTGATCTATTTGCCTACCAACCTTCAAGCAACAGATGTGTTGACTAAGGGGTTACTTAAGCCTGCCTTTGAGAACTCTCTAAGCAAGTTGGACATAATTAATATCTATGATCCATCTTGAGGGAGAGTGTGGAGATATTATAACTGTTGTAAATATATTCAGTTATCAGTCTTTATTAGGCTTTATTAATCATTATTATTTGTGCATCAACTTGATGCATAAATGCAAAGTTGAATCACAATATTTAGAAGTAATGAGAATATACATTTTTCTCTCAAATTATCCACAATATATTGGCACTTGTTTTTGATAGGAACTAACGTCCCTTGTTGGTATATTCTAGGAAGAGACATTGCAGTATATTTTATTGCTTTTATTAAGTATTTTATGTTAATTATCTATTGTTGTTGTTAGTTTCTTATGGATAAGGTTGGGTAGTTATATTTAGTTATTGTGTTTCGTTATAAATATCCTCTCTTGTAACTCATTGCAATATGAATGAAGTATTATTCAGATATATTTGGAGACCCTCCTATTTCTAGGACTAGATTCTGATTCTAGAAGATTACTCTCAACTTCTTCCTAATTCTTTCTCTCTTTTTCTATCAACCTTTACTTATTCTTACCAAGATTCTACCAGTTTTGCTCATGGTTCAAGCTCAAAATGTTTTCATGCTTTGCATGCTTTTGAAGCGTAGAAAGCTTTCAAGTGAGGTCAATGTTAGATATATCAGCTAACTTAATCTCGGATCTTCTCCTTATATCTTAACCTTTTAAGATGAATTGATCATCAACATAAATGTCAGCTGCACAATGCAAGACACTATTCAAGCATTATAACTTTATGGCTCACGCACAATCAATCAAGAAAGGGCAAACCGCAAAACTAAAGTAGCCAGTCCTTAAAACCCAGAGTCTCATGATCAAACCCTCAATCATTATTTGTCATTTCCATGCTTATCAGAAAGTCAACCATCGGTGGAGATTAAATTAAATAAATTCACTTAAAGCAAAACTAGATACCTATCTATCAACATCACCCAAGTCAAAGAAATAGAATTCTCATACAGATTAAAACTCATATTTTTATTGAAAATAAGTTTTAATTATTTATGAGAAATTTGACACACAACTTAAGCAGATGTCTAAGCTTACTTTTCACCAGTTTCATTTGATATAATTTTAACCTATATAAGTATTTATAAATGCCAATGCCGTGTAATAAAAAAAAATTTATCACGTTTCTTTTATAGTGTTTGGATGGTTCTCCATGCCGCTATCTTCTTTATAAAAACAGTAACATGGGCACAGAGCCGAACATACCAGATCGTTTGAAGTTCAATATTTGCCTTTGAATTTCTTCAACTTTACCCCATCCACAATTCAACTTATCAATATGAAGATAGATACCAGAAATACGAGGATCATATGCTGCTTTTGAAAAGTTCTCACAAATTTGAGGCAGAGATAGTCCTTGAGAGAAAGGACTCTTTAGCTGATCAGATATCTGACAATGTTAATGAACAAAGCATTATATACAAAGTAAACATCCATGTAGAAGACAATGTCCTTTTTTGTTCAACTATATACTCTGTTAAATTATTTCCTTGAAAAATATATCTCTTTACGCTTTAATCCTTGATTTATTCTTATACAATGAATCTCTCAGTTTGTCGCACTCTTTGCGTGTATATTAAATTATTCCCAAGGAGTAAAAGTACAATTTGATCCTACAAAGTAACAAAGGGGACTAGCATGTTCCAAGTTACAGAGTTTGAGCAACTAGAAATATCTTTGCTTTCCCTGGACAGGGCCTTGGGGAATCCAAAAGCTTCAAAGTCTGCAGTGAAAGCTCGAATTCAACTCCCCAGTAAATTCAGGTAAAAAAAATCGGCAATGAATCAACAACAAATAGCAGAAACGAGAAATCTCCTTATATTATGAAGAAAACGCCCAGATATTAAAAAAAAAAACTAAAATGCTCTAAATGTGTGAGAAAGGATGAGAAGGAAACCCGGCCCCGCAACTTCATTGTGAGAACGCTTCCCTTGCGAACACCTTCCAAAGGGAATGCAATGAGCATCTTGAGCTGCAGAAGAAATTTCCTCCACCCAAAAATGGGCGCAAAATCAAAGTCGCCACTCGGATAATCCTCGTCGGCAATTCTCGCACTAGGATTATTTATGCCACCGTCTGGCCTGGAATCCTTGTCAACCAACTCTTGTTTCGGTTTTGAGTCGAAAGAAGAGGAGGAAAAATGGAAGGCAAGTGACAGAAAGGGTGGGAAAGATTGGGAATGAGAAGGAAGAGAAAGGTGGAGTCGGCATTGAAATGGGAAATGAGAAAGAGGAGCAGAAAAGGAGGAAGAAGAGGACAGAGTTGCGACTATTGCTACGGAACGCCGAAGGGAGCTGCGACGAGAGCTGAATAAAAGCAGCCTCCACATTTCTGCGATCACTTGTGATCACTGTGCATCTCGGGAAGGTCGACGTCAGCTCCTTTTCTTTAGGGAGAATCGGAGAAGAGGACCTAATCAGGAAATTAAGAAGAAAAGGGCATAATCAGGGAATTATGGAACATGCAAAATCATAGAAAAGTATAAAACTGGGGATGAAAAATTGCAGATTTTAGGTAGTATATCTTTTTTCCAACAAACTGCTGATTATACGCTTTTCAACAGTTCGCCTGGTCAACTTTCCTTAATAAGAATAAGAAGCAAAATGTAGTAATTTAATGTCGTAAAGCATAAAAATTAATATTTATATTTTGGGGTTAGTTAAACCTGCTCATCTTTGCAAGCCTATTCATGCCATTTGATTGGTTCATGACATGACTAGAGGATTAAACAAAACATGCTTTGATCTTGTCTGTTATGCTTATCCCAACCAAATTAAAATATAAGTCATGTTTAATTAAATTCGTAAGGACTACGGAAGAGAGTCGAAAGCAAGTTAGATAATTAAATTTTTCAAAAAAATTACACTAATATCTATTATCACACTTATTAAAAATTGTTAAAAATAGGATACATAATTCAAATGATACTTTCTATATACTTCTAAACGGGACTTACACTTACATTTCAAAGCAATGAAGCATATAAATATGTGAATAATAAAAGTCCACGCACATCCACTGAATGTCCTTTTATTTACTCATTTATTTATTTTTAATTTTAACTATCCTATCTGACCATTTTTATAGAAGAAAAGGATGCCTCTCACACACCTTACATATAAGCTATTGCCCTTTTTTTATCACATCAGAAATACATTACGTGTCAAATTACAAAATATTTTTAAATAAAATCTCATATATTGATAAATTTAATTAAATACACTTAACAATCTTTTTTTTAAAAAAATATAAAATTTTAAAAACACCCTTCATTTAATAACTTTAAATCTATACTTAATTAGTATTAAATAAAGAGAAAAATGATGATATTGAAATAATTCTATTTAATAAAACATTAATTTTTTCAAAATGTCTTATATTTTAGGATGACAAATCTTCTTCAAAGGTATTTTATAATTTGTAATGGAAGGAATAGTACAAAAGGGCTTAACTACAATTAAAATTACATATTTAAATCAATTTTATAACCAATGAAGATAAGATTGGTGTAGAAATCCTATTCATTTTTGCACTAGTTATCCAACGAGTGTAGATATTAATTATTCTACACTGATTCATTAACTGGTTTAGGTAAGAGTCTAGGAATGTAAATAATTTTTTTAAAAAAATTATTATCTACACTAGTTATGACATCATAATCAATGTAGATAATAGTTATAGTCGTAAACGACATAGATACTACATTTAAAAAAATTATTTCATTTCTTTCTTGCATTTACTTGGGCCATTAGGCTGTAATTTAAAACTTGTAATGCAATCAATTCTAAACAGCCAAATAGGATTTCCTATACAATCAAATATATTGATTAAATCAAATGAATTGTAAAATATTTACAATTTTATTCACATACATTGAATATTTACTTAGTCCTACACACAACTACACTAATGTTTTCTAACATGACCACAATTACATACAACTTACCCTTCCTCAGGATGATTATTGTGAAGATCTAACATGAACACTCTCCATTATTATTTAATTTCTTAGATTTTTGATTCAAGAAATGGAAATAGATCATCAAACATCTGAAAAGATTAAAGACAAGGAAATTCACTTAGCAACTCCAAGAAAATAAAAAAATAGATAACACTTAAAATTAGATTTACTTCTTTGGTGAACTCAGTTAAATCAACTATTATGATATTGTATGTGTGTGTCAACACATAACAATTGCATAAGTTATATAACTACATCAATTAAATTTAATAACTGATATAGATATGTTAAAAATAATTTTTTAAAAAAATTAAAATATATAACTACACCAGCTATATGTAATAACTGGTGTATATATGTTAAAAATCAATTTTTAAAAAAATTATAATATATTACATGCACATGGGGCTTTTGACAGAGGTGATGCAATAAAATTAAGTGAAGTTGTAGGAGATGTGGTAATGTTTAAAGATCCAATGGTGAAAGGGACGATGTCTAGATCATTCATATAGGTAAGTGTTATTGCTAATATTAATCAACCTCTCATTATATTCTAGGATTCTAGATCCCACGTCCCAATTGAAAACTTGTGTGGGTGACGGTTAAGTACAAGAGACTCCAAAACTTTTGTGACCAATATGGATTCATCAAACATGAGAGCAAAACTTGTAAGTTTGAATGCGATGCAGTGTCTAATGATTATGAAGATGATGAATTTGGAAGTTGGTTGAGTACCCGGTACATTAAAACTATTGAGGAGGTGGTTGAAGTCTATATAAAAGATTGGGAGGAAGTGGCTTTAATAAAGGGCAACAAGACACCACCATCAGACAACCACCATGGGTGATGGAGTGAGTAGAAGAAACCTAAATTTGGGAAGAGCAAGAATAAAGGCATTAATTGTGGCTCAAGCAGTAATGGAGGGATATCTTAAGGTAACGAAATAAATTTTAATGGAGGAATAAAGATAGTAGATTTGGGGGCATCTCATAATATGCATGCTGATATTTCTTGAAAATGCCAGTTGAATAAAGGGGAGTTTAATCAACCTAGTGAAGAATATGGAGGTAAGGAGGATTTGAGCATTGAAGATTTGCTTGAGAGCCCATCTACTAACAAAGCCTAGCATTCAGGAAGTCTAGTACAGGTTGATAACCCTAGAGCCCATTTACCTAACAATGAGTATATTGTAGAATTGTTTTTAATAATGTATCACCAATGACAACAGTAATTGATGGGCTCAATAGAATTGGATTTAAGAGGACAATTGAGGAAGAGGAAGCTTTAACTCCCAGGACAACAAATGAAGAAGGTTGTTCGCTAAAGAGAGCAATAAGGATGCTGCGACTATCTCTCCACTCAAAGTAAAGAAGGTGGTGAAGGCTCATAAAGTCTAACAAAGTTTTCAAGAACTGAAACAACAAATCAGAAGCCACAAATCAAAGAAAAAAATAATATGTAGATGTTGATTAGTGATGCGACAGGAAGAACAGAGGTGTGTGAAATTGGCTTACCCCTTAAATGGTTCATTTCTTAAGGTAAGCCGATATATAGGATCTATCTTCTAATAAGCTCAATGTCGGTGGTAGGGATGAACCCACAATATATAGCTTCATCATTAAAATCTTATCCTAAAACTATCAAGGGTTAGGGGTTCCCTGGACAGTTAAGAATCTACAAGAGGAATGTAAAAAAAAATAAACCCCTTCTAGTTTTCATCATTAAAACCAAATAGAAACAGCATGTGTTAGGAAGGCAAGGAGTAAATCTAATTTTGATGAAGAGTGGATCTGGTTGGAAGAAGTGGTGGATTGGCCCTCTGGTGGAAAAAGGAAGTAAATGTTAATATCTTATTTTCTTCTTAGAATTGTATTTTCACTAGTATGTCATCTCCTAGTGCTGAAACTCCTAACTATATTTCTTTCATCTATAGGCCTCTCAAGGAAGGTGAACGTAGGAAGGTGTGGCATGATATTGTTCGACAAGTGAATAGTATTTCTAGTTCCTAGTTATGTATGGGGGACTTCAATGATATTACTTGCAAAAAGTTAATAACATTAAAATATTCTCTTCAATAAATATCTTTATTAATTGTATAAGTAAATATTATAAAAAATTAAAGTAATCAAGATAGAATAATTTTAAGAGTTAACGAGCAAATATGACCTTAAATTTTTGCTCAAAAATCACCTTGGATCCTAAATTCTTAAAATATGTAAAATAAATTTTAAACTTTTAAATTCATAGCAAAATAAACCCTGATCGTTAACTTTTTTAACACTGTTACTGTTCATGTGAGTACTATAATAGTCATGGTTAAATTTGTAGGAAAATAAACTCAGAACAATACTTGCATGGATCATAATGATATTAAAAAGTTAACGATCAAAGTTTGTTTTGCTATAAATTTATAAGTTTAAAATTTATTTTGCATATTTTAAGAGTTCAGAGTCCAGGACAATTTTTAAGTAATAGTTCAAGGTCCTATTTGCTCATTAACCCTAATTTTAATTGAAGAATAATATTAAAACATATTGATAATTTTTTTTATCATTTTAATGATATATAATTTTTAAAAACTAAAAATACGTCACCGTAACTTTTAATAAGACTGTAGGAGGATCAAAATGTTTTAATTTGAACTCTAAAAATGTAAAAATTAATTGTAGTAATAAATTTGAAAAAAATTTAACTGTGAACATTTTAAAACATAGATCTTAAATGTCATTTACAGCAAATCTAACTAAAATAATCCCTCTAGTTCTATCTATAGAACACTATTTAGAAGTAATTTCGGTCCAAAAGGTAAGACACATTTCAATGTATCCTTTCTTAATTAACTTGAATATATTTAATGGAGCTGTATCATTATTTAAAAATAAGAGTAAAAATAAAAACACATATTATTTTTTATGATATAAAAAATTAATTTTTTTAAAATATATAAAATGGATAAAAATGTTACTCCCTCCATCCAAAAATGTAAGGCATTTTTTGAGGAGTTGGATGTTCAAAAATATAAGGTATTTTTAGTCTTTCGAGATATAATCATTATTTTTTTCAAAAGCTTCCCTATTAATAATGACTTTATATTTATTATAGGGTGTTTAATAGAGGTAAATATAAAAAATAAGGCTAATTTAAAAATAGGTAACTATTTTATTGAGAAGTAAAATTTGGTTAAAAATAATTTATATTTTTTAATGGAATATATAATAAAACCAACTCGGAGGGAGTGAGGTGAGTACATGAAATGTTAACCGTCCATAGTTCTCTCTCTCTGTTTTCATTAAAAAGACAACAAAATGATTTTTTTTTCTCATAAAAAAAATTTAGGTGCATTAAATTCGGAGGGCATGGCCTCTAAATTCAAAGGAGGTTTACAAAGAAGGGATATGAGCCAAATCTTTACTGGCCGGAGAATATTTTGCAGGTAAAATAATAACAAAATGATTCGGAGAAGACTAAAGAAGCTAGTGGGGCCCAATAGGGGCCGCGCAGGAGGGATGCTCATCCGAGGGCGGCACGATGAATCCCTATCCATTTACATGTACAGTGTTCAGAACACATTGCATGTTCTTTGTGTTCCTCAATAATCGTCTACTCACTTTCATCCTACCCGACAAACACGACGTACGGGTCATCCTGCTACTGTACTCCTTTCGCCTCCACCGTGTAAATTATATACCCGCATGCTCCTCCTAATCTATCATCACAACATTAACACAAAAAATAATGCAATAACAACTTATCTGATAAAATAATAATAGAATGCAATCCCTAGTCGTTGAAAGAAAACTTGAGCGGTTGATTAAAAGCCTCTACAATTGCTTTTCCTGAAGCAGTGATTTTTTCTTCACATTCCCATCCCCAACCTTAGACTTGTCATCCACGAATGCTATCTCTTTCTTGCCCACCTTTTTCTCCGCAATTTCCTTTTCTCTGGTTATCACCGCTGCCATGTCCTCTTTCACCAGCTGGTTCCCTCTCCGGTGATGACTCGGACCCGATGATGCATCCGAAGCCATAGAGTCATCGCTTTCACCCACCTCTTCCTCGCATCCTTTCCTGTCTTCTTCCTCATCCTCGACACTGTGACCGTCACCGCCGTCTTCATCGTGCGTGGTGGGGGAACCCAGATACATGGTCCATCCAGATTCACAGCTCTGGCATTCTTCTGCAGCTCCCAACATCTGGGAATGGGATGGCTCCATCTGATCCACCAGATCAACACCAAGTGGAGAGAAGTATGTTCGTCAGCCTGAGATTGGAACCTTAGCTTGAACCATTTTTCTTAAATAGGAAAATCACGACCAGCTTTTTCTACACTCCATGATTATTTATCACTCTCATCATTTTCTCTGGTGATACACCCAGATCGCAGATCAAAATAACCACTTATTAAGAAGTCACTTCTCTTTTAATGCACCGCCAGGAAACCTAGATAACCCATTAATTTTTCTGACTTAACGAACATTGCTGAGACGAGCAGCTAGCTAGCTAGCAGAAGATCGACAGCTAGAAACTGTCAAAGACAGTGAAATCAAATAATATAATCTCAATCTCGATACAAAGAGCATTTACTTGAATTTGAAATATTAAATCGAAGGACGCGTGGAGGTGCCTCGGTCATTGGGTTTTTCGTGAGGGAAGATGAGAAATCAATCAATCCTCATTATTTTTTCTGCATCGGTCATTAAGATGAAGGACATGCTTTAAATGCCAATAACAGATTGGCAGAGACCATCCCATACGTAACTAGGGAGAATATACGACCCATGGCTCAAAAATAGCAAGTGTATTCATTACCTGATTTAGCTTTACCGATTCACTTTCACCTTCTCCAGCAGGACACAAGCACAGGCTTTTTCAATTCTGGAAATCTCTGCACAATCCAAAACAGGATTAATTAAAACCTGGTTGTCTCAGCTGGTCTCTAATATATCCTCTTTAATTGGCCGTTTTGTCTGTTGCCGGGTGATGTTTGGCAGTGACTTGTGATCCGATCAGATTTTTTCTTTTCATACCTGTAGTTTCTTCGTTCTTTCAAGGAACGCGCACGCAGAGGACGAATTTGACTCAAGCCTTTAGCAAGTCATATATACACGTGTGTGTAAGTTTTAAATTGCCAACGAAATAGTTTTATATGCATGACAGTTATTGAATGGCCATGATGAGGGAATTGCTCTAAGGTTTATTTGAATTTCTGTAGACACGTTTTAATTAATTAGTTATTTAAGGTCTCGTTTGGTTGGGGGGAGGGGAGGGGCTCCTCTTCCCTCCCCTCATTTGGTTAGGAGAAGGGGAGCCCCCTCCCCTCCCCTCTCCTCATTTGATTAGGAGGAGGGGAGGGGAAATTTTTAAAATTTTCTCTCCCCTCCCCTCCAAATTGGGGGAGAGCTCCCCTCCCCTCCCCTCCCTTCCCCCTCCTCCCCTTCCCTTTTCCTTCTCTCCTCTCCCCTCACCTACCCTCCCCTCCCCTTCCCTCCTCTCGAACTAAACAGATTTTAAAAGACAATTCCTTTTAATATAAAGGATTAAGTTGTAAAAATATCTAGCTAGAAACTTTTTTCCAACAATATAATAATATATAAATATCTATTAACTTTATAAAATAAGCCAAGTGGATAACCCTTTCCAATCTGTTCAAATACCCTCATGTTGATTGTTATGGATTGAAAAAGGTTAACTTATTTTATGAAGTTAATAAGTATTTATATATCATTGTTGATTTAAGGATATCAGAAGCTTATGGAAATTTTTTTTTAAATATTTTTATACCTTAACCCTAATATAAACTAATCTTGAAATGAAAATGGCATGAGTCTAAGAATCAAATTTATTGAATATATTATTTATTATGAGAAGAATTACAACCAGCCCTCTCTTAAGAGAATTAATTACGGACAAAAATCAACTCAAAATGAATTATTGTTAAAATATAGAACATGACTTATTTTTTTAAAATGAAACTTATTATTAATCTTTATTTGTAGTTAATTTTTTTGGGAGGGAGCGGACTGTAATTCTCTCTTTATTATATTATGATGAGATACCATCATGTATGCATATATAGTGGCAGACGTTCATATACATGGCTGAGTGGGCAAGCAAGGACGCGTGCAAGGTGGGGCAAGAACCACATTTTGATTGGCCCTTGAAAAATGCTTGGGAATTTTTTTTATTTCACTTGTAATAAAATGTACAATTAGTATTTGCCCCTCATATTTTAAGTAGCTTTCATTTTTGTTCCCCCATATGTTAGCTCCTGGATTCGTCCCTGTGGGCAAGTGCCCCTCAACTTAGAGAAAATAACAAGGAGAGGTAAAAATTTCAAAAATATTTGGGCCTTTTATATTTTATTTAAGCCCACTATATTTTAATTTTAAATTTAATATATTTCAATTTAGATTATTCTTTAAAAATATAATTTTAATTTTTCTTTCTAATATTTTACAAAACTAAGTCAAAACTAAATAATAAATATCCCTAATAAAAATAAAATTTAAAATTTTAAAGCATACAAAGATCGAAAGAAGACCAAAAAACAAGATGAAAAGCCCTTTTGTTAGAGAATAGAGTTTGAGATGACAAATAGAGTAAATGGAGTGAGATTGTGTGAGTGTGAGACTAAGGGTGAGCTTCAAAAAAAAAAAAAAGGTTGAACGAGAGGGAGAAATAAAATTTTTTTGTTTTTGTTTAAAGTGGTCCTCAAGTCCTAAGTTTCTCCTTTTTTAATAATGAGCTGATGATATAACAATTTCAATTAAGACATGAAGCCACGTAAAGAAAACTTATAAAATATGTAAATATTTATTTTATATATTAAATATTTTTTATCTTTTAATATTTTATATAATTTATGTTCCCATTAACCCAGTGTCTTGCGTCCTCCACTATGTCTGTATATATTGGTGATGTCTTTGAATCTTTTGTTTTACATATGAAATATTGTTATTGAATATAATGATTAAAAATGAATAGATAAAATTTGACAAAAATAGTAATGTTTTCTCCTTCTATTTAATATTATAAGGTATTTTTAATTGAATTATATCTTCAATAAATTATTTAATTATCTTTAAGATTACACTATATTTTTCATGTGTCTATCTTCATTTAACAGGATGTCTCAATTAAAAAAATCTTTTTAGTTACACCTCTCAATTAAGGTTTTTTTTTTTAAAAAGTATTAATTACATTTTAAAAAATTTAAAATATTTTATATTTTTTAATTTCGTGATTCATAATGTAACGGAGAGAGTATGTGTCGGAGAAGTGCAATATACATGGTTGATGGTTCCACCAAAGATAGTAACTTGCAGCGGAATTGGAAGGAGGTGAGGGCCAGTGGGGCACAACTGGGAAGGGCCGGTAATATTGGGTTTATATGAATAACTGAGTAATTTTGTGTAGATATTATTTACTACCAAAAAAAATATTTATGACAAATTGAATCATTTCATGAATATAATTTTTTTTTGCTGCTACTCAGTTAATTTGTAGATAATCTTAAATTAATTTAAATGTGTTACAGGTCTTAGTCAGAATTGTATGTTTTTCATTTTTTTTTTGTTGCTAAACTTAGATCATTATGCATAACAGGTTGTCAGTTATGGTATACAAATATTTGCAAGTATTATTGATAAATACATCAAAAAAGTAAAGCCATACAAATTGATATACTCCCTCCCTTTAAAAATATAAGATATTTTTAACCGAATCTCATCCCCAATAGAGTAGTTACCTACTTTCAAACTAACCCTATCTTTTTATATTTATTCCTATTAAACACTCTACAATAAATATAAAGTCATTATTAATAGAGGCACTTTTGAAAAAAAGACAATGATTACACCTCAAAAGATTAAAAATGCCTTACATTTTTTAACATTCAACTCCTAAAAAAATGTCTTATATTTTTTAACGGAGAGAGTATATAATTGCTAAATGTATCTCTCTGTAATTTCTAGTCTCCGCCTAAAAAATGGCTGCATCACCTTCAGTACTGCGTTCATGCACCGGGAAGGCTACATGTCCTCATGCTTTGTAATTGGTAGCTTTCATTCCATGAACCGATTATATAGAGAAAGGACAGGGGGTGCCCCATGGCTTGAAAGCAAGAATTTGGTTGTTGCTGTTGCCAACTTGAGTACATCCCACCTAGCTAGCTTATAAAGGTGCTTCCCGGGATTCTTTCTTCTCTTCAGGTTCAGGGGGCTCCACCTAATTCATATGACCAATACCACACTGTTTCACTCCTCATATTCTACGTTAATTTATGAAAAAATTAATTATTTAATTTTTATAATTTTGATCTAATTATAATTCAGTATTTTAAATTTAATTCATTATATCTCAATCTTTAAAATTTTGACTAGATTATAAATCAGTCCATGTCTTTGCCTCTTACAATTTAGTTCCTAATGTTTCAACCTTTTAAATATTAATCCCTATATTTTAAAAAATAAAATTATAAAGATTAAAAATATTTTAAACTTTTAATATTTGTAATATTTATAAAGATTAAAAGGGTTTAATAATTTAAACTGTTAGTAATAAATTTTAAAATATTTTGAATCTTTATAATTTTATTTTTTAAAATATAGGGACCAATATTTAAGAAGTTGAAACTTGAGGAACTAAATTGCAAGAGGTAAAGTTCAGAGATTGATTTATAACTAAGTCAAAACTTTAGGAATTGAATTATGACAAATCAAAATTTAGAGATTGAGTTACAATTAAGTCAAAATTACAAGGATCAAATGATTAATTTTCTCTTAATTTATTATGAACTTGTTTCCTTCAGCATCAAAATTTCTTAAGAGGAAATTAAAGACTGATTGAGGTGGCATGCATCCACTCTTGGATCTACTGATGATCTCAAATGCTAATCTAACTATAGTTTGTGTGGAGTTGAAAGCAATGTCATCTGATCAGTAAAGAGATCTCTACGCGTGACTTTCTACATTGAACAAAAAGTCTTTGCTGGGAAATTCTTCTGCCACTCCAGCTTCCCGCCTCGTTCTTCACATTCACACCTTTCTTCCACTTCCTTAACACGCACTGCCAGATTTGAGAGAGCAAGCGGGAGAGACAAGTAAGAATTCGTTTCCAACAGCACGTATCCATGCACAAATACAAATAAAATATTTGCAGCAATATATTTCTAATTTTATTAATGACTAACAATCACAAATCCAGTTTTTTGTATGCTTGGAGTTGGAAGTGGGCTCAGATGACTCGGAGTAGAATTTGAATAAAACCTTTGCGGCGCACCCAAGAATGTTTTCGAATTTGCATTCCCAAGCCTTGTTGTCTCTCATCATCTTCCTTGTCCTTTTAGCTTTTTTATATGTATTCCTGATCCCTCCACCCACTTCAACTTCCTCACCTCTGGTACATCGGACGAAATAGAACAGAGGGACACTCCAATTGGACTACAATTTAACAAATTAAAATGTGACTTTTTCATCAGAAATATCTTTTATATTTCCGAATCAATTCAATTATAAAAAAAAAAAATAAGATCCAAGACATCAGAGGGAGAGGGTGGTCTAATTATGAACAGACAAACCATATTAAGAAACTCACCACTAAATTCATTTGGTTAAATGACATTTTGACTCTTAAAATATAAGTCTAGGAGCGTCTGAGACTTTAAATTTATTTTTGATGCAATTAAAGTTAATTTTGACCATTAGTTGGCTAAAAAATGACTAAAAAAGACCTCAAGATTTACGTAAAAGGACCAAGAAAAATTTCTTGATCATTTTTCTGTAATTTTTGCATCTTTTCTATAATTTTTTTGGTCATTTTTTATAATTTTTTTGATTAACTAACAGTCAAAATTATTAATAATAGTAGGAGCAACATTGCACATTTTTTTAAAAGTTAAAGAGGAACATTGTATCAAAAACATGTTTAAAATTTTAGATACTTCTAGACCTATAGTTTTGCTGTTTAGAAATTGCTCTTTAGCCCTTCATTTCTTGTAAATTATAATATCAATTGATATCCCACGTTTGCTTCATGAAATATATTTATGGGAATATAATAAAAATGGAAATGAAAGTAAATATGTAAATAAAAATTCAGTGGAATGGAATAATTATGTATACTTGTTGGATTTTGATATGGTGAGTGACTTAAGTACACTTACTTAATGAATATCTTATGTGACATGATAACAATGGTTCAATTTAATCAAATAATTATAAATGATTTTGTCATATAATAATAAAAAAAAATCAAATCTCAAATTTTTAAAGGGGACATCATGTGTATGGCATGTTCTAATGTAACATCCTAATTTTTAAGCTAGGATTTAATTATGAAAATTGTGGATTAATCAAGTATCTAAATTAGAATTTTTATTATTTTGATGTCTAATTGGGGAATTAATTCATGATTGAGATTATTTGATGTTAATCAAATATTTAGGCACTTATCTATGGTTTAAATTAAGCCTAGGATCATGTATTAGGATTAAATAGAGTCCAAAATAGGCACTGGGTTGGATTAAGCCCAAATCATTGGGCTTTAAGTGGAGAATCTGCACACTATGATGTGCGTCACAATGCATAGTGCAATTCTGCACTTAATGATCTGTCCAAAAGACAAAAAGGAAGGGAGAGAAACATATATTGTGAGGTGTGAAATTTATGATGTCTATTAGGGTTTGGTGAGACTCATCATTTTGGGTTGGTTTTGGATCATTAAAGATGTAAGGTAATCATTCTACCCTCTTTTTTACCTCTTATTCTCCATTTCAAAACTCTATGCTTGGTGGGTGAACTTTAATGATGATTATGAGATTTAGAGGTTAAATTTGTGTTTAAGAGGTGTAATGAGGATGACTAAGACTAGGTATGATAGTTTAAATATATGGGAACTGTTTAGATTAATTAACCTAGCCCTAGAATTATAGTGTGATTAGTGTTTAAGCACTTGTAATAGTGATAATTAACATTGTATTAATGATAATAATTAGTATTGTATTATGTGTAGATTGTGATGTTATCACTATTGGAGATGAGAACATGCTTGCTCAAGGAAACATTCTTGCTAAGGACAAAAGTAATCATTACTTTTATGTTGTGGTATGTGTTATGTGATTAGTTGTGTGTGGCTTTTGCATAAAAAGAATTGTTGCTTGGAAATATATGTTTTGAAATGTGTATAATAATTGTTAGTGAAAATTAGTGTAATGGGATGAGAATATATATATATATATATATATACACATATGATTTTGTTTGGTATGAAATTAATTGTTTGGAAGCATGATAAATCATTTGGATTCATATTTGTTTAGAAAAATTATTGTACACATGATTTGTTGGGTTTTGGATGTTGTTCAAGAATTTCATTATTTGGAAATCAACTGTGCCACCTGATAAGCCTTCATTGGATCTAATGGGTGGTTTGTTAGGGTTTGGACTAGTGAACCATTGACTTGGTGAATAGTACCAACTGTGAACTTTTGTCCAAAGAAAGGAGGGTATATGGTTGATGCTATCCATTCTTGTTTAGTTTTGTCTAGATTGTTTGGGACCTATTTTTTTTTCCCCAATTAGCAATCACATAATTAGTTGCATAGCATAAATTATGGCATATTAATATTTGTTACTGGGACCTTTGTATCTCATTCCTTGTATGCGGTTAACATTTTTGCACGAGATTAAAGGTAAAGTCAGAGAAGCACCGGAGACATATGTGTAGTGTGGATTACCATCTTACCTTGTTGCAGGCCTCTTGATGTAAATTCTTTCCAACCTAGGGTATTATTTTATATATGAGCATTTAGACTTATGATTTTTGGTAAAATTGTTCTGTTGTAGCTATGAGACTTGTTTTTTTTTACTCTTATGGTCTTATTTAACACGTTTCAATTACGATCCAAGCATAGAAAGTTTTATGATTGATTAAGTTAGATGTTCATTATTAATTGTGTTAGGTCACTATAATCCATCAATGAGAATTTTCATTATATGGGTAAGTTCTTGGGTTCAAATCATTATTTGAAATGTATGTGAAGTGATCAGTTTTCCTACACAATAGTTATTGGCTTTAGTGTTAGTTTGGAAAGTTAAAAGCGACTAGAACGTGTGTTTTGGACCTATTATGGGCTTTTTGTGGTTAAATTCTTCATACGAAGAAATTTTTGCACCAAACCAAAGCCATTAGTTAAATTATTTGATTAGCTTTGTGCAAACATGGCCAATCAAATTATCTCTAACAAGGAGATTGTAGCACTGGACACTTTGAATACAGACTTTCACACCTTGAATTCTTCTATTCTATATCAAGCTTGTAAACCCAATCTAAGGGCATTGATTACAGCAATGTCATGTGGTAAAAACATATATATAGCATTAAAACCATATAACCACTACTTTTCATGACTCCTAATGATTTTGGCACTTATAGACATACCATTTTGACAAGTTCCCCCCTTGATTATGAGGCGATAGCATTCTATTAGACATGCATGTGAGGGTTAATTTTACATACTATACAGTTCATATTAACTTATTGTCAAATCGTTTATGAGACTTAAGGGTTTACAGTAATAGAGTTCTTTTAGCCTTGAAATGACTACTGGTGTAGCGTCCAGGTGGATCATCTTAGGGCGTGTTTGGTTACTTCTCTAAAATCAATTATAGGATACAAAACTATGTTCTGGAAAGTCAACCCAACATCCTCAATTTTCCCAAACTTTATTTACTCCTTGAAACTCTATTTTGTAGGAGCTAACCAAAAATGCATCCTCAATTGTTTCAAATTCCATTTGGTTCTTGAAATTAAACTTCATTTTGCAGAGGTTATTTTTTTCTCAATTTGGTAAATCAGTTTTGCAAAATTAATTTTATAAAATATTATCCAAATATCATCACATTTTGTTAATTAATTTTTTTATAATCAATTTTCTTCAATTGAAATCCAAACACACCCTTATTTGCATGGAGATCTTAAATTTATAAGGCACTGGATAGATTTAATTTGAAAGATATTTTAGATATATAGGTTACGTTGATGCAATGAAGTTTTAAAGTTAGAATAAGAAACATTGCAATTTGAATAGTTTATTTATAGTCTAGAATAGAAGAAATATTACATTTCAATTTTAAATTAAAAATAAAGAAACGTTGTGGTAATTTAATAAAACTGAAGAAAACCTGTGATTGGCTGAAAAAACAAGTTGAAAACAGAGTTGCTAATTGAGACTTTGGGCCGGGGGGAACCTCGATTCTTTTCACTAAATAAAGGTTCTAGTTTTGATGAATCCGATGCCTTGAGACGATCTTTATTGATGAATTGTGGAATGAGGTTGGATTTTTCAGTCGTGTACAACGAGAGAATTTCGATGAAAATCTCCCAGAGGAATATAATTAATGGGCATGCATATATGCATGTCTCTGATTGGGACTGGTTTGGAATTAATGAGTAGGTTTTAGTACTAACGTTGGGGTTAACGTTTAGGGATTGGAACATGGAACTACCAATCATAAATTAAAAGCTAAGTTGGATTCTGATTTGGCAAGTGGTCTAAATCTACTCATTCAATAAATGTGTCTCAGTTATTATTTGGATTTAGTCAATACTTGAAAATTATCAAAATATATTTTTTAAAAAAATTCAAAACAATTTTCATGATCAAAGCACTCCTCACATATGCTATCCCTTTTAAAGATGTGAGATTTGATACTTTTCTAAATATTATAACAAAATCTTTTACAACTGTTTAATAATTATTGTGCTACGTGAGATACATATTAAGGGAACTTAAGCCACTTATCATATTCAAATCTTAGACTACATCTTAGGTGAGATGGCCAAAAAATTACTGGTCCATGCTTGGATCCTCATGTTGGTATATATGCGGGCAATATTCATTCTCCTTTTTCCAGTTCATTCATCAAACGGAACTTTGGCCCCCCCCCCCCCCCCAATCCCCAAAAAAAGTGAAAATAACATGCACTACGGCTCCCCTGATCTACTTTTCATAAACATATCACCATGAATGCATTGACACACTTGTGTGTATAATTCATTAACCAGCTTGCATCGTACAGTCTCACCAAATACTTAAGCACGTAGCACCATTATATTCCCCACGTACAATAAGCTAAGTCTCTATTCTCCTTTGTTTCTCTAATTTTGTGATATTAATTGCAGATCCGGTCACTAATACGGGCCGGGATCGAATATATAAAGAGCAGGACTCAGCACGGTCGAAAAGAAGAATTAGGAGGGACCATTTGATCGATGCACTGTATGATGCGTGCCTCTCTCTACAGGTGGATGCCTGTAACTACTTTGCTAAATATACGTTCAATTCAATCAAACGTAAAATGCATTGTTTTATATATTCAAAGAAAATTAAATGATCCAAAGCTGCGCAGTCAAAAAGAGATATAGATTCCTTAGCTGGGGTTGGACATTTTTGTTCGTTTTGAAGAACATGCAAGGCAAGTCTCTATATATGCTGAAACTAAATGGAACAGGGAATGCCGCAGCCAAGTCAGCAGGCAGAGCAACAGCTCCGCCATGGACAGCTCATCATCGCCAGAATGTGTCCACGAGCTTCTGACCAATAAGAGGAAGAACGGCAACAGCTCGGAAGATTCGAGAATGGGATGGAGAAGGTTCAAGAAGGAAAGCAACACAGGATCGTCCGTGTCGACCACTTTGAAGCTGTATGAGGATCCGTGGAAGATAAAGAAGACGCTGACGGAGAGCGACCTGGGAATCCTGAGCAGGCTGCTGCTGGCGGCGGGATCGGTGAAGAGGCACATTCTGCCGGTGCTGGACGGCGAGGATGCGAGAGGCGTGGAGAGCGAGGAAGGAATTCAGGTTAGGGTTTGGGACGTGGACACCAAATCCATGCACCAGCTGCTGCTGAAGCGGTGGTCGTCTTCCAAAAGCTTTGTGCTGATCGGCAAGTGGAGTCAGGACTTCGTCCGGCGGAGGGAATTGCGCAAAGGCGACGAGATTGGCTTCTACTGGGACCCTTATTCCTCCCTCTTCAACTTCTGCGTTCTTAAGCGCGCTAATCGCCCCTAGTACATTTTATAGCTGCATCTTTGCCTTTCTTTTGTTTTCCATCCAATACTATTTTTGTCAGATGACGAGAAGTTTATACGAATATTAGAGTATGCTAACAACGTCCTTAATTTCATGGCTAACAAGATCGATTTGAACCTATATTGCTTTATTAAGTTATCAATCATATCTTTACTAAGTAGACTGGACTGAAGTTTGTTGGTAATAGTATATTGATTTTTACATGGTCTCTTCCTGGTCCTGCAATACGTGTCGAACTATCGCTCTTTGCTATAAAGCCCTTCGCCACTTGCGTCCTCGGAAATTGGAATCCTTCTCTTCTCTTTTTGCACACTCCTCGTCTTCAAACTTACTATTTCTCTTCCTAATTCATCCTTTTTTCAAAAACATGGTTAATGAGATAAAATATTAATCTACGGAATTTATTATCATCGTTTCATAACATGTTTTTATATATACTACACACAAATGTCTACTCTTTTCCATAACATATTACACACGCGCGCGCGCGTCTCGTTTAATAAAATTATGACGATATATAGCATTCAAAAAGCTAACCTATTTTTTGATAATGGATCTGGTAACTAAATTTAACCACTCCACAACACTAAAGACCGATCTGTATCTCTGCCGATCAAGATGCGAGAAACATCATGCATCCGCTTATATTCAATATCCCGATTTATGTATATCCTCAGCTTTCATGATCGATCTGGCCGGAACCAATTCTCGTGTAATTTCTTGTTCTTTCTTTCCGAATTTGAGTACCGAAACCACAAACCAGCCTCAAGGTAGCATCTTTTACGCATCCCCCTCGGTGTGTTTGTGTGTGTCCGTATATATATATTTTAAAAAAATTAACAAGAGGTGATTCGAAGCTGCGGAGGGAGAAGCATATGGGCCAAAAGAAAGTGGAGGAGGTGTTACGCAGTCTTGCCCTCTCATGTCAGTCATCAAATTTACCAGCAAGTTGCTCCCTGCAGTCCAAGGCCCATGGCTTCTGCGAAGGATTGTAATTTCAACTCTCCATCTCTCTCTTAATTTGGACTTTGGAGCCCCTTTTCTCATAAAATTATAATGGTTTTTTTCGATTGGTTAATTTGTTCACTGGCTTGCAGGACTATGCTGCTATTGTTGTTTTGGACATGTGCTTTTGATCGATCGCCTGACCATCGTCCACAATATGATGCATTTCCTTTGTGTTAGGGTATGTGTACGTATAAAAATGCATGCAGATTATATAATGTCATCAAACATTTGCATATGAACAATGAACAGTGGACCCCCCAACATACAACAGTCTGTGCAAGTGTTTGTAAAATTACATTATTAATAAGTAGCAAATAATGGGAAAAATATCATTCAAGCTGAGTCAATTTAATATCAAACAAGGATTAAAAAACTTTAAAATATTACCGTCGAACTAGGGGATGAATTTGAAAATAATTTTAGATACTTAAAGACTATAATACCCTTTCTTTATATGAAAGAGTTTGAATATGAGAAGGGACAACTATAAATCATCTTTCAACAAATAATTATTCATTGTTAGTTAATACGTACTCATTCGCATATAACAAGAAAGCATTATTCACTAATTGATAAGTTCAAGAATTTAGAAGAGAGTTTGCTTGTGAGAAGGGACAAGTGTAAATCACATTTCAACAAGTAATTATTTATTAATTAATAAGTACTAATTCATATTTAATAAGAAATCATTCACTAATTGACAAGTTTTAATAAAAAGGAAAAGTAAGGGTATTATAGTATTTTTCTATCTAAAATTATTTTTAAATCAATCTCTTAATCATGCAGTGATATTCTATAATCTTTTGGTCATTGTTTGATATTAAATTGCCATAATAATTCTTGAATGATATTTTCTCTAACTAATATGACCTTGTTTACCAAAAGATAATGCTTTTTACTTTAAATTATATGCAAAACGCGTGATCCAAGTTTTAGTTCAATTAGATGCAAGACTTGTTCAACTTTAGAAAATTTGGCACAACTAGGATACCTTATTCCATGCAGTGTAGAGAAATATTTATTTATTTATGCAAAAAATAAAGATTAAAATTAAAAGTATAACCATTTTGTAATATATTTGAAGTCTATAAATTTTTTTTTTGGCCAACGAAGTCTATCAATTGAATGCTTCTGGGAAGGTTGATGCCTTTGTGACTAAACTTTGTGAAATATTACTCAAGTTTTGTTCATTAAATTGTTTTTGTAAGTATACCATGAGGTCAAGTGATAGAAATCGAAGTAATATGAGACGTACGTTTGAATTTTATATTGAGTAATATGAAATGTCAAATATAAATTATTATTTAGTTTTTACTCCTATATTTAGCTAGCCTTATTGATAAAAAAATAAAAATTATTATTATTATTATTATTATTATTATTATTATTATTATTATATTTTAAGCATGTATTATTGATATGGTTTTGATTTATATTTTAGAAAAAATATTACTTACATGTGAAATTAATACATTTAAATTGATAAAATCAAAGTCCAAAACTTAAAAAGAATAAAATAAAGAGATGTGAAAAGTAAAGATTAAAAAAACAAGAAGAAGCAGCTAGTCCAACTCTAAAGAACCGGCCCTTAAGGCTTAAAATTGAAGCCTAAAACCTCCCAACTTTGGTACATGGTAACTTGGTCTGGGATATCCTAGTTGCAGCCATTCAATTCTGAATATGTATTATTTACTTAATATAAATTCTGGCTGTAAAGAATTTTTTAAGTAAATGCTCCTTTGGGTCTTGACTTATAAAATTTTAGTCATTGGTCTTTCATACAAAATCCTTCCACGAGCTTTAAGATAATATTTATAATTAATCTCCAAAACTGCTGCTGCCTTTTTAGGTTTTTTCTTTTGGAAAAATTACAATGAAGTTCCACACATCAAACTTAAATACTCCTAGCTCCCATGAATAAGACAAATTATTATGAGGTCCCATGATCTTTATGGGTAATTAATTCTAAAAGTAAAAGGATCAATTTGTCCTTGGCTAATTTAAAGGGGAAAAACAAATGAAAGAAGGAAGTAGAACCCATTTTCACGCGTGGTAGCACCCATTTTGAAACTTCCCACTCTGCCAGTTATCAAACTCCCTCTCATCTGTGTATGCACTATTACGTGTTCGATTTGAAAGCATCCTCTCCTCCTCATTTTCCTGTCTCAATCGCACCTGGAGTTTGAGAATGAGAGAGAAAGTCAGACCAAAACATTGCGCGTCGATCTTCCTTCGAAATCTGGTTGTGTTCCTCCATTACTCTATGATTTATCCCTTAAACCGAGATCTATTGATCCCCCTGCTCCTTGCTTGCCCTGAGCTCTACGAGAAGGGAAACCTAAATTTGCAGAAGATGGTGTTAAGGATATCTAATCTTCTTCTGAAATCTTACCGTGTTCCTCCATTGTATGTGTTTGATTATTGTTAGGGTTCTATATTTATCTGATCTTTGTTGTTGTATTGGTATTTGAAATTAATTTTTTTCATTTGATTTTTAGATTTTGGATGCATTTAAACTATCTTGCTTAAGAAAGAACTAAACTTTAAATCAATAGAATGTTTCCTACAACTGTAAAAAATGACTGGACATTTGCTGATAATTGTGGGATACCTCGTGTGAAATTATGGTGACTTAGAATTGTAAGAGATAAGTTCAGTGTCATTTGATAGGTTGATCGTATCTATTGTTATAGCAAAGCTCTAGAAGACATCTACATATATACTTGAAATCCCTGATTCATAAATGTGTAGTATTTGTACAGACCTTTGTGTATATTCATGTCAGAACATTAGGACCTGGACTTATGTTACTTAAATTCAAAAAATCAAGTTGAAATAGTAGGACCTAATTAGGATCAAAGCCAAATTTTAAACCATTTGAACAAGCATATAGAAGTGATAACTTTAAGAGATTTCAAACTATTTGAACAGGCATATAGATGAATTTAAACCAGAGAACAAACTATGGTGGATATCAAATTCCTGTAAATGTTTAAGTTTGCCTATCCACTTTAGAATTGATCCTTTGAGCTGAAAATTTAAGCTTAGCATTAAACTTTTCAACTTTTGGAGCTTGAACAAGGCTTCTAGTACTTTCCCATAGAAATAGTTGTTGCTGAGGTCAAGCTTAGAGATATCGTTAGTGAAATTAAAGAAAGAATCATGTAATTTTGATTTGATATGGTTGGTGTTGAGATCAAGAGTTACAAGTAATGTAAAATTAACATAGCTAAGGAATGAAAAATTTCTAGAGCCATTTAGTAGAAAAGGTTAACTCGTGTGTGTGTTTATACTAATATATATAATTTAAGTAAAAATATATTTGCTGGTGACTGATAACAAGTATGTTGTAGGTGAATAACATGTTCACTTAGAAAATTGACAAGTATGCACAGGATATTAAATATAAATGCTAATTTTTTATTGACAAGTAGGGTAAGGACAATGACAACTTGACTTAGGAAATTGATAAGTAGTGTAGAGGGCATTAACAATTGAATGGTTATTTGCTAATGACAAGTCAGGTTAGGATATTAACAACTTTACTCAGGAGATTGATAAATATTGTACAAGATATTAAGTACTAAATGCTTATTTGTTGGTGACAAATAGGGTAAGGACAATAATAACTTGACTTAGGAAATTGACAAGTAGTGTATAGGGTATTAACAACTAAATGGTTATTTATTGATGATAAATAGGGTTAGGACATTAACAACATCACTTAGGAAATTGACAAGCATGCATATATAGTTATACATGTAGGTGGTTAATATGTGTCATATGTTTTGTGATTGTGATTTTTACTAATATTAAACTTTGTGAATTTTCAATCAATTGTAGATGAAGGGAGAAAGGAAGGCCAATATCTTTGGTTATGCAAAATTTGTAAAAGAATTCTATAAGAAGAATAAGGGCAAATATAAATCAATTGGCGAAGGACAGGGAGATCTGACAAAAGTGTGGGAGAAGTTGTCAGCAAAAAAGGAGGAGGAATATTCACAGAAAGCCAAGGAGGAGAGAGGAGAGATAGCTACAAAATATACTGTACTTTTTCACACTTATTGCTCTTCTAGTTAGTTTTCAGAGGTTACAAATTATGTTAGGGGAGGGGATAAAATAAGGAAAGGGTGTGAGAAGATTGGCTTTGACAAACTACTTAGTATAAAATGCAAGAAAATACACAAAGATATCTGTAGAGAGTTGATGCAGGCACTTGACCCCCCAACCTAAGAAATATGCATTAGATGGAAAGCAAGAAAAATAAATTCAAAGGATGTATAAAATTTGATGGGCATAAGGAATGAAGGCAAGGAGATAATTGAAAAAGTAGATGTTAATGAAAAATCATTTAAGAAATTGAAAAAAACTTACTTTAAAATGCCCTACAAGAATATTTTAAAAATGATAACATTTGAGAAAGAGGATGCTCAGTTCGAGTTGTTGTTTCTAATATATACTTTGAGAGCTTTGCTATGTCCAACAATAAGTATAGGGATTAGTAACCGTGTTTTAAAGGTTGTACATGAAACACATAAAGGAATTGGCAAATACAATTGGGCAACATATGTCTTGAATGAACTATGCAATGAAGTGGACATGTGGAAGCAACAACTCAATAAAGGGAAGATAACTGGAAGGAAGAATGTTGGAGGATGCATTTATTTCCTCATGGTAAGTGTATGGTTGTAATTTATAACTTGATAGAATATGGATTGTTATATCTTGAAAGTAATGTGTCAAAATTTATATAGGTTTATTGCTTTTAGTATTTTTCTCTTGGCTAAGAAAAAGCACTTAAGCCCGATGATGCCCTCTCATATTGGGATAAGGAGAAGGTTATTGAAAGGGTAAAGGTAGAGAAGAAGAGTACTTGAGGTATATTACATGATCCCATAAGTGCATATGGTAATTCTTCTACTAAGTTTTATCTAATATGTGCTTTTAGTCACCCAGTATGTACAGAAAGTGGTCTTGCATTCATGTACCAATTTTCCCTTACTGACACATTTTTTTGTAGGAAATAAGGAAGATTTATGTAAAAGTAGTGTCTAAACTTGGTAAAGAGCTTATAAATCTATAAATGAAGCTTCTACAAGATTCAAAAGACGTTGACAAGACACAAGGAGAGGGTGGTGAAATAGAAGAATAAGCACATAAGGATTCTAAAGAGGATGATGAAGAAGAGGAAGAGGAAGCTAATAAGGATAATTTAGAAGAGGCTGATGAGGATGAAGAAGGTGAAAGAAAGGATGAAGAGGCTGATGAGAAAAGCTTTGAAGAAGGTGAAGAAAAAGATGAGAAAGGAGATGAGGAGGATGCTAAACCAGGTGAAGAGAAAGATAGGGAAAAATTTGATGAGGATGAGGATGAAAGACAAGAGAAAGAAGCAGCAGGAAAAGGAGAGGAGCCAAAATCTATGCATGAGAGATTGGATAAAGAGAAGGAAGTGGAGGGGGAAGTAAGAGAGTTAAGCAAACAAGATGATGGATCAGAAGAAAAAGATGCTCAGAAGGGATTAGAGAGATTTAGATTGTAAAAGTAAAAGAATCTGGGAGATCACAAACATATAAAAGACATACAGTGAAGTCTCCTTAGGTCAGACTTAGTCAAAAGAGGAAACTAGCTGAGAAGGAGTGTTTATTTCAGATGTGCACAGCATCGTGTCATGAAGACGAGGGAGGGAGGTAAGTCGTCACACTTGATCAAAAAACAGACCACCTAAACTTTGTTTTTAATCAAATGGTTTTTGTTTTCTTCAATAGGACCTTTGTGCAAATGTATGAATATTTCCTAACTCGTGCTGAGCTTTAATGTCTTGGTGGAACCAGATGGATCAGTAGTAAGGTATGAAATCTATAGTCCATAAAATCATTTTGCCACTGTATAGATATTAACTTACTACTCTTGTGATCCTATTTTGCCAATTTTAGTTTATAATAATGGTTACTAGGACATTAGTTGGAGATCAAAAAGAGAATGAAAGCAGAGTTAGGACGTACATTTTTGGTTTAGAGTTTATGAGAAAAATGGTAAACAACCCTTGGTCCTAGACTATTGGTGACAACAATAGAGAAATATTGCCCAACAAAGCATCAACGATGATTAGTGAAGTTAAATTTACCCTTGCCCGGTGTGAAACAATAAGCTTGCCCTGCACATTGTGGATGCGCTCGCTATTGAATCTTGTTACCCTCAAAAACTCACTATGCTTTCCTATTAAATATGCTGCAATATTCCATGGATATCCCTCAACCTTGTACTTAGCAATGACCTTTTTCACATTGTTCTTCTTAAACTTGTATGAAAACTTGTGCCCAATACTATACTTGTACAAAGTTTGTTTAAAGGTCACTGCATCGGTAAACATTTGGCCCTTAACAACAAACAAGCCCTTCCATTTTGCTGAATTCATTTCAGGCATTGGTGTAGGCACTATTTGTATAGCACATTTTAATGGCAAGTCTTCAGTTTCAGGACACAAACTAGGTAGAGATAAAGACCCTTCCTCTGAACCTCCTAATAAATTATCAATCCTGTAGAAAATTGCAATCTGAGTGCATTACTAATACTACATCATAATATTATATATTTTAACAAAAAATAATTAACACAACTTACACATGTTGGTACTCAGTTGGGTCATCTATTGATACTTGTGCAATGTCATTTTTATTTATAACTATATATACATGTCCACTTTCTTTATTGTACTTAATTAAATGTTCTACTCTATCATCATCAAAAAGATCTAAAATGTGCTTTTGTCAATGTTGAGTGTGAACTTCATCTCACTTCGAATGTTTTTGCACCCCATGATTGCTGATAATATTTTTCTCAACTCTTCATAACTTGTCCACTCCTTTATACTTCTTGTTCTTACACTCTCACCCACATATTGCATACTACCTTGGCCATAATATGCAATTTTCCCTCCTATATGAAAAAAACATAATAGATGTCTCCCAAGAGTACTAGCCATCTTTGATGTCAACTTCACCATACAAAATATATTGACAACTATTAACAGCATATTGACAACTTTAACAATTAACAATACACACAAGATATTGTCAACCTATGTTGCACACAACATATTGACAATTGGCCATGTCATATTAATAACTTAAACTTCATTTATTAACAACACATATAAGGTATTCTTAACTTGCACGACACATAATATATTGACAACTATCCATAGCATATTGACAACTTATGCTTCAATTATTAACAACATATCTTACTATCTCATGATAGACTTGTTAGCTCAACTAAGTAGCACTAGAGTCTTGAATACACTATTACTAATGCAACCCCAATGACCACCAATGACATATATATTGACTGAGAGAGAGAGAGAGAGAGAGAGAGAGAGAGACGTCCATAACTCATATACCCATAAGGAGAGAAAGAGAAAACCTTATTCTACTAACAAACCATAAAACACTAGATTAAATGATTAACAAGGAGTATATGAAAACTAATCTCATCATTTACTTACTTTCGTGAGGTCACATTATTAGATTCTTTAAAGCTCGAAACTGGGTGCAAGAATGTTTAAATGTGGGCCATCTTTCTTCACAAACTCCTACATACCTCGAACTAAAGATGATTGTAAAAATGGGTTCATCTTCTAACTATAAGTTGATCCTTTCGTACGCCATTCTAAGAACAATTACAAGATGCATTTCAACTACTCTTGCCTCTATCACGCGCGAAAACCAATCTTCTTTCCTCTTTCCTTATTTTCTTCCCTTTTAATAAGCCGAGGGCAAATGGATTTTTTCAATTTTAAAATTATTTCCCCCTAAGGACTATGAGATTTCATAGTAATTTGCCTTACTCATAGGAACTGAGAGTATTTAAGTTTGATGTATGAGACCTCATTGTAATTTTTCCTTTTCTTTTTACACTATTCTCACCCTCACTCCCAAATGAGTCGTACCAATCAAAGGGTAATATTGAAGAAGTGCAAGTTTTTAACAATGAACAAACTTCAATTAATTTCTCTAATCTTGAGTAAGTAATTAATACAGCTTATAAAAAGGACAAGAGAGAGTAAATATTCACATAATTAACAATTGAAATGAAGCAATACATTAATGAACAAGGAGTTACCAGTAATGCATGCTCGACAGATATCAGCAAAAGTAAAGGGTAAATGGTAAGGTTAGAAGAAGAGAACAGAAAAAGTAACATCAATAGATAAATTCAAATGGCATTTATGTGCTTTAACGGGACATTGGGAGGGATATTGGCCACTTGATAAATTACAACACATAAAAAATTATGCAGAAATGACAGAAACAATGTGCTGATGAATTCAACGCTCAACTGCCTATACTACCACCAAAAAAGGGTTGACTCTGTAAGGCTACGAAGCGCAATTGCCTTTTTCATCAATATAAATCGACCAAGGGAACAAAATTTCGAATCAGCTTCCTGCTCCCGCCAAAATAACTCAACGAGAGAACTTGGCGATCAATTTTTCAACATGGATAACAATATCGTCTATTCGGGGCCGCACAGCAGCCTGAGGTTGAAGCATCCATGTCACGAACTGATGAAGAGCATCAGGATATGGAGACTTAGGTCCAGCGGGCCATTTGATTTGAGCATTTACAATGGCCAATTGCAGGCTTCCCCCAGATTCCCCAAGTGCATATTCAAATGGAGATACCCCATACCTGAAATGTTAAGCCAGATGATGATAAACGAGTCTGCTAGAGCTGGTTGAGATATGAAGCACAAAACAATAATAGGACAATACATTTCAAGATGACAGAAATTAAATTATGGTGATACTTGGGGGAATGGTTGGTTGACCTTACATGATTAAAAACAAAGCAGAGAAAAGCCATGTATAAAAATAAGTTAAAACAAGAAAACGTGCTTGAGTTTTTTAATTTACTTTTTTAACACAAATAAGGATTCCGCAGTTTTGAACAAAGATATCTTGTTCCTCAAAGGCCCGCCACAGTAGAAGTTTTATGAAATCTAATGGTTGACAGTTGTGACAGAATGCGGTGGGGGCCTCAAAACTACCACCAAAATTTTTCTCCCAAAGCCGATCTCCTTCATGTTGTTTATTGAGAAACAAACAATGGAATTTAGATCTACTTTATTTTCTTTCTTCTAAAGACAAACTAAAGACGGTGTAGTTCTTAGATTAAACTAGAACCACCAACAAAGGCATTGCCAATAAAAGTTCTTGATAGAAAAAGTTAAAGATAAACCACATACTAAAAAAAAAGTATATCCTCCTCACATTATTGCATACAGCGTGCATCCTAGTGACCAAACATCAGTCCTCTCATCTATATCAGCCTGGCTTGGGCAATCCCATAGCTCAGGAGCACGGAAAGGAGCAGAGCAATGTTCAGCTGCCCATTCCTACAAAAGGAAAGAAAACATATGGGGAAAAAATCAGCTGCAAAGAAATTTATACGAGCCAGATAACTGGAAAAACACTAGGCTCCACTATATTTGAAAAACCTCACCAAAACAGCACACTTAATTAAGGAATTAGTACTGTCACAATAAAAGCCCCTAGCTAATCAGCTGATTATCTTTTCAATGAAAAAGATGGCCATTTAGTGTATGGAAACAAATTATTGGGAACTCATTATAGCCTAATACATATGTGGCGAAAACATAGTGCAATGATCCTTCAAACACAAAATGGAATGAAAATGTCATAAAAATAATAGATGTAAAATACCTTTACGCATCACATATGATACGCGTCTCCAAGTATGACATTTTAAGCTTACGGGAAAAACAATCATTAATGCGAGCAATGGAAGTACCGATGAGTGATGACTGATGAACCTATGAAGCATATAGTTAGAGATGCCTATTTTCAGGAGTGTTGACTCACACATAGCCACTACTATAACATTTTTTTTTTTTTTGTTGGAGGGAAACACTACAATAACATTGATGACAGGTTTTTGTATGCGTCAAAAAAGAAAAAAAATTTCAGGTTGGACACAGTTGAGAGGAAAACGAAAACGAAAGCAAAGCTGAAAAGAATGGAGGTGGAGGATAACAAGACAAGATATTCTCAAGTATACCTATAGTACATAAAATAGAAAGACCAAACTAATAATGACATAATATACACATATCAGAGGTGGGTCCAACTCCAACAAAGAAGTGCACCTAACATGCCTATATATCTATGCCATCAAGGCAGTCAATGGTAAAAGGCACCCTTAAGGCACTAGACCTCCAAAACACCATGGGCACTTGAAAAGTTCGTAGCAGAGTAAACTAAAATCAAGAAAAAAGAAAAAACAATAGATACATGTAACTTGAAATAATATGACCGTTATATATGCAAAAATAAAATCAATCACTGTTGTACATTTCCTTTTAATTTTGAAGTTTGTGCATCTTAAAGTTGTACATTTCCTTTTAATTTTGAGGTGTGTGCCTTTGCACACCTCATGCAATGTTATGGAGTTAGCACTGATTTGATGTATAAATTTTGAAAAAAGGAAATGATAAATTAAAGGTTGGGTCAGGCTATTTAGATTGTGTTTTATAGTTTCTGAAGTTAGACTTATAAGTTGATTACTTCACACGAGTAAGGTGCCTAACGTATGACACTCCCTTCAATGAGGCTCCGCAAGGTGATATGAGAGGCACTGGACCTGTTTAGAGCCTTGCCCCAGTGTCTAGGTGAGTGCCTTTGACAAAATTCATACCTGATTGGGTTCATCGACCTATTTCACATCAACCCTACCTTAAATTTTTCTGCAATGAGATGCTAGAAACCCCTATCTCAATGAAATATAAGATTCTTTTCCTAACTAACAGTACAGATTAACTTCTTTTTAAGTAGCTTTCTGTTCTCCATTTTGGAAGAAAATAGCGCAAAACACTAAAAAATTATGATATAGAATGAGGTGACCTGTTTTTTATTTGGAGAAGCTCATTGAATGGGAAGTTAAAAAATTAGGATTTGTATGACATACACACAAAAAGTTGAAAATCTAAGGGTGTATTTGGTTCGAGGGGAGGGGAGGGATTTTAATGGAGGGGAGGGGAAGGGTTTGATGTTACCTTATTTGGTTTGGGAGATGAAGGGAGGAAAAATAATTATATATGAACAACTTTACCCTCGTTTTATTAGTGTTGAGATATTGGAAAAGTGTATCTGCATCTTTTGAACTTATGACTGAGGGCATATTGATCAAGGTGTAACAAATTTTAACCCTCCCCTCTCGATCCCTCCAATTTGGAGGGGACGGGAGGGGAGGGGCATTTTTTTTTCCCAAGCCAAACAAGGGGAGGGGGCAAAATCCCTCCTTGCCCTCCAATTTTGATGTGTCATCATGTTTCATATATGGGTCTTGCTTATTTGTGAGGAATTAACACTGCACAGTATAATATTTATTAAAAAGAAAGTAAGGGGGCGGGAAAGACTATTGATATAGACATAATCTTGAAAATTTGCACCTGCAACTGTAGTGCCTCTGATCGGGAGTGAATTTGCTGCCTGGCAGGTCGAGCACTACCAAAATCCATGAGTATGGCAAGAGGAGGTTGTCCATTTCTGCGTGTTATTACCACATTACCAGGTTTGACATCATTATGTGCATGCGGAGGATTCATATTGTGCATGTGCTTGAGTCCTGCAGCAAGCTGTTGAGTTCATTTTACACGTTAAAGCCTCTTAGCAAATTTAAGCATCTAGCCAGTTTAGAATAAATGAGAAGCACTGAGATATCATAAAATCCATTAAAAAATCACAATAAAAAATGAATGTTCTAACAAAATTTTATCTCAGTTACTATTTTCTGGTGAAAATCTCAGGCATATTTATTTTGATACACTCCATTCATCTCCATCTAGTCAAACTGTAAACAAATTGCAATGTGCTGAAAATTTTGAGTTGGTTAATATAAAATTGAAGTTAAAAGGTTCCCACAAAAATATACAAGTATATAATCAAAAGATTGTTCATTTTACCTGCTGAAATATGTGAAGCACATCTGATGTGGAAAAGAACTCTTTCTTGGCTTTCATAGTTTGAGCAATGTCAAGCAATGTTCCATCCAAATGAACGGGAAATAACAAGTATGCTTCATGGTTCCAAGATGTTTCTTTGGTTGGCTGCCAACGAAAAGCACTTCCATATAAATATAAAATCACGAGCATAGAAACAAGTAAGATAAAGCCAAAAAAGCAACGAATTAGAAGCGTAATGTTATGCATTTCTGCATTAACCATGTACACTCTGTTTATAGGCTATAAAGTGCATGAGCGGATAGACAATAGTTAAACTGCAACAGCATAATGACTTTCCAGATTGCATTGATAGGCAATTGTAGCATATAATCCATATCATTAACATCAATGTATATAATTCTAACTAGAAATGTAATGCCTGATGCAGTTGAAGGACAATTTAAGTTTTTTTTTTTTTTTTGGGCTATACCTCAGGGATCAGACTCGGACTAAAGCATGAATTTCAACCAAACCAACAGCTCTGTTATTTACGAGATTTTGAAGGCTAACCTTTGATATATAAAGGAGACAAATAATTGCTGGCTGCGATTACTTATTACCTTAACAGAAATGATTGAATGATCAAGAAGTGGAAGCAAATTAGGATGACTGAAGAGTGATGAAACACGGATCTCCTCCTTCACCAACTCCAGCTGTTCATTGTTTTGAATGAGGACCTTTTTCATAGCATAAGTTCCATCGCCTGCAGACAAACTCACAGCAAAGAGTAAGTTACAAAGTCTTCTTTTCCAGTGTTAACAAAGAATAAGGAAAATTCCATGACTTAAAACGTGAAAACAGGAATATTATAGCCAAAGTGAGAAACATCATGGTACATCTAAAACTGCGTGTGCCATCTATAGCACAAAACAAAAATGCAGAAAGGGCCACAGATCTCATCCATAAGTATATTTGTCTATCATGTACAGACAAGTTTGGCAGAAATGGGTATGAAATTCAGGGAATTATAGATCTAAGCTGGAATATCAGAAACGTTAGACTAGATATTCTACGGATTGGTTTATTCTGAAGCCATTTTGGTTTTGAAATTACAAATTACGTAAGAACTCAATTACATATTCCACAATTCCACCTCAGAAATTTAGTTAAAAAATAAACAAATAAATAGACGCAAAGCCGTGTCAGACTAAGTAATAATTGCACAACAAAATGTCATAGCTCAAAAATCAGATAGATAACATAGATGGCGCATTCATGTTACCCAACAAAGCTCATTTAAGAAAACAAGTCCATAATTTAAAGCAATGGCATAAGTTGTTTCATCGAAGCCTACAAGTATGGTGATTCACTTCCAGATTTCAATCAAATCAACCTGAGATCACAAAATTCTACATTAGAAACAGCAATGCGGGTTGAAAAAGGAAGAAATCTTACCGGAGACACGGGAAGAGTCTTTGAGCTTCTTAGAGAGACCACCTCCGGCTAAAGCGGAAGGGGAGTCGGAGATCACCTCCTTGACCAAGTAGACGTAGGAAAAGCCACCTTCGCCGAGCTGCCTCACGATGCGGAATCGGTTGTCGTTAATCCACACATCGGTTGCCCCGTTTACGTTGTCATACAATGCATTCAACCCAGAGAACGAGCACCCCATCTTCTTCTCCTTCTACAGTGCTTTCTTACTCTCGCTCTAGGAATTTCTGCCTTGAACGTGCCTGTGAAAACCAAACGAAAGCACGTGTTCCAGAGAGACCTGATTTCACGTCGATTGTGTGCAAGATACTTTTCCCCCCCTTGGTTTTTAATACTTCGCTTCCTTCTTTGGGTTTCGGGTCTCTGACGACGTTCATTCATTCTTGGATCACTCAATTCTTAACCGAACATGTTTGATTTGGCACCCCGCCATCATTAAGGGAGAATCAAAGACAAGTCCGCAAGACAAAATTGCAATTTGGTTCAAACAGTTCCACTGCAAATTTGTTTCAATTATAAATAAAATATTTAAATTTTAAATATCATTCTCAATTTATATATAAAATTTTTGTTTGCAACTTTCTAATCAATATTTGCAATCAATTTTGTAAAATAAATTCCGAAAAGCTAACGGTTAATTGTTTTGAATTTAACTATCATTCTCCCTTATATTAAATGGAAAATGATAAATAAAAATCCGCAAATGACAGAAAATAACTGTTAATTGGGCTAATTATTGTAAAGTCTTTAAATCCTACGATATGGGAAAGAGTTAGAATGACTAGTTAAATTAAAGAAATGACTATTTCATTTGAATAAATAATCCCAAATAATAAAAAAAAAAAAAAGCTTCAACAGAGATAGTAAAGGCCTGTGTTTAGTATTTGTTTTTTTAAAAAAAATAAAAAACTTGTTTAGATAAATATTTTATTTTAAATTGTTTTTAAAACTGTTTCTTTTTTTAAAAAAATTAAAAACTGTTTTCGTTTTATTTTTTGAGTTTCATATTAGTGTGAAAGTTTCAATCATTTATTGTTCTGCTTATAAAACGTTAGACAAGGGTTAAACTTATTGAAGATTGGTGATTTGATGCACAAATCAGATGTGGCAATTAGGAATGAGTAAAACTGAATTGAAATTAAAAATCGAATCAAATTTTGTATATTTAATTTGATTTATTTGGCTTTTCAGCTCAATTCGGTTTTTTTTTTAAAGAAAATTTTGGTTGATTAGTTTAATTTGATTTAAAAATTTTTGAACCAAATGAACCAAACTAACTGAATTACATATATATATATATATATATATTCTTTTTATATTTAAAAAATGTGAATAAATTCTCATTTAGATGAGTAAAAATATATTTCTACTTCTTGCAATAGTAATATTTTTTTGTTTAATATGATGTTTTAAATTTTTATTTCTATAATTTAATTTTAAATACAATAGTATCAAGTTTTATTAATTTTCTTATGAATTATAGTATAAGATTGCTATTTTTTTATTAGGTAAGAAAAAAAAATTGGATAGAAGAATATATGAACAATTAGACTTCATAAACTTAAATTAAAGCCCACAAATTGAATAAAATGATCAAATGAAACTATTATAATTTAGTTTGGTTTTATTTCAATTTAATTATATATTTCAATTCAATTTAGTCTAAATTTTTTATATAGTTCGATCAATCAATTTTAAATACAAGGACGGATATAGCCGGACAACCAGGCGTGCTACCCCATGGTATAATTTTTCTTTGTAAAATGAGTTTCTTTTTACTTGTAACACATGTGAAAATAAATTTTGGTACACACACTTTCTTGTAATCTTTCATTTTTGGCCCCTCCATATACTCATTTCTAGATCCGTCCCTGCTCCCTCACCTGCCTTTTACCAAAAATTCCTATGATTCATGATCTCTCGGCACGCAGGAAGATCAAATGAGCACCTCAATCACCCATGGCATCTCTAACAACCAAACCAAAAAGAATTTTTACCACCATGGAAGTTCTTTTTTTTTTTTTTTTTTTGAAGAAATTCCACCACCACGATCACAACAAATAAAACTAATCCAGCCCATCAGGAGCAAAAATGAAATAAAAGGAGGGAACATATGCTTGAGATTACTCGCATTTTCTTTTTCCCGTCACTTTAACTATCAATAATAGCAATATAGAAATGGATGCTGATGTCATCAATTGACTTGCAGAGTCCTGTCTAGATGGCTGGTTGCTGCTGAGTAATGCAGTGTATGTTTCCACCCCCCAAGACAATCTCCCTTGCACCTTCAATTCCCACAATCTGTGACAAAAAAAATTCTAAACGTTCATTGAAAGTTTTTTTCACAAAAAAAAAAAAAATTACCAGCACACCAGGATCAATGACCCAAATTCATAATTCACAAAGTACTTGATGAATGCATAGACAACCGTTAATATGATGTCACGTGTAGGTTGGGACAATCACGAACACATATTGTCCAGTCGCCATTCTAAAACGGCAGGGTTTCTCTGCTCAATTTCCGATGCATTAGCCAACTATGCGGTCAAATTGCACCAATTTAAGAACCTATCTCGATTTGATTGATAGAGCCAATTCATTATCTGATATTTGGTTCTAAAACACGTTTTAATCCTGCTATTATAGAGATGACGACACCTGCTTTTTAGGTTTCTACAAGCAGTTCATTTGAAAACCAGTTTCAGTGGATGCCTTCTCCAACAGATAAGTCCTTCTCTTCTGCAACCGCATGTCATTAAAGATGAGATAGTTTTATCCTCTCTAACTGCCAAAATGATATTTACTACGAATGATTATGGTTGGAGCCACACATTTTCTCCTAGATATCGAGTCATGGAAAGTACAAATTTCCAGTCCCTTGTGTCATTTCCATGTAAATTCCACAAAAGGTGGTGCTTCCTCTTGATTTATTTAATGGGTTATTTTATGACTTTCAAACGATTTACTTAATGGCTTCCCCTTGACTTTCAAATGGGGCATGCTGCCTTTGTTTTTAGTTCTTAGGTTTCTTGCTTGGCTTGTGCCTTTCCCTTGGCATTCAAAAAAACAAATATGATAAATCACGCACCGTCAATCATGTCACCTCAAAGGCATTTTAACAATAACTTCTTACTTGGTGATAAGGAAAGGCCTTAGATAGGACTTGCAGAGCTTCGGCGTCCCATTTTTTATCTCCAAACTGTGGAACAATGACGGCTCCGTTTGCAATATAGAAGTTTACATATGAAGCAGCGAGTCTTGTACCTGGAAGTCTGGGTTTGGCCTCGCCATCCTGTGAAAGAAATACAAAGGGTTTTGGAGGTTGAGTTTGTCTGATTCTGAGATCAAATCATTACCAAATCGTAATGCTTCATACTTTGTTTAAATAAGGCATTAGTCATTGATGTGAATTCAAAATTTCAGCATTAGTATAATGAGATATGCAGGGACATTATTACATTATCACAATTAAAGGCAAGTCTTGGGAATCAATTAGAAAGTACTTTATTAAAAATGTTCAAAATAACTTGCAATTTGTTTTGTTCACGGCACCTCAGCTTTTCATCAGACATGTTATACCTGACATGTGTTAGCTTTTCTACACAATTAAAGTGTGTTTTGATTAGCTGACCAGTTGCTAACTGCTTCCCTGTGGGGGGTTAATGAGGCTAATTCCATGTCGCTGTCAAGCAAACACATTCTGATATTATTTGGAATTTGAAGATAAAATGGTTTATCTGGACAGAGATACTTAACATCAGTTTCCCAATCAGCGTGGTCGTTTAATATATGAACAAGTTCATTGGAACATATGGAGGACATTAAAGTACCCAGTCACATTTAAAGTCAATAGATGAACAAGTCTATTGGAGGCCCTTTCATCACGAGAGACTCATGATTGCTCTAGGCTTTTGGGTCAAGAGGAGCTGCAGCAGTGTTCTTATCCAGGGTTGACTGACACAACATTGTAGGAGGTTGAGCGATTGTGAGTTTCCTGGTTTTCTAAGGGAATTTTTTTTCTTTTACATTAGGAAGTTATTGTATCTTATCATTTCAAAATAGTATTAGGATTATCCTGTTGGTAGATAGATTTTAATCAAAAGTTGAAACTAAAACTCTCACCTTTCCACATTTCCATAAGAAAATTACCTAATCAACAGAGATGACGACATTATGGAGAACGCAAAGGCTAATTAAAACAGATGCCGTTGAACTCTTCATTTGAATCTATTCATGAGTTAGATAGGCGCAGAAAATTCTAAGCAAGCTCAAATCTGAAAGTCTGTAGACCTTGCAAGTTGCAACTTACCTTCCAGTCTAATAAATTAGTAGCACTTTTGAAATCAACATGCAAACAACAAAAATATAGGACATTCTAATCTCAGAACTATAACAATATACAGGAAATCAGATTGTCAGATGCATAAGAATAGCGTTGAATTATAACCGGTAATTAACATCAGCAACCCATACACTGAATGAAAGCTACACCACTCAGGCAATTGGGGTTGGTAAATGAACTTTAACAATTATGTCTACAACTGATGAACGGAATTGAATAATAAAGATAAATAACATTTTTTTCCCATTTGGGTTGAATTGTGATAAACGAAGACTTAAAAAAAAAAAAAAAAGCCAGAAATGCAAACTTGGGTACTTGCCTGAATGACCCCAGCAGCCTCTTCATCTGTCATATAGAGTGGGCCAGGTACACGAAGTTTAATTATTTCAAGTTTTCTACCATTGGCATCAGTTACACTTGAAAGCAGAGAATATGCCTCTACAGATCTTTCATACTGCGGATCAGCTTCATCATCAGTCCAAGAAAGAAGAACCACACCAGGCCTTGCGAAACAGCACATGTTGTCGATATGACCATTAGTATCATCATCCCCTGTATCAAACCATTACAAAGATTTATTTAACATATATAGACAAAGGCTAATTACCCACTTTAACATTTATGTATCAAAATATATCTGGATCGGGCAAATATAACTGTCTACAACTCCTAAGTTGGACATCTTTCTAGAAGTACATACATCAGCCTAGTCATTCAGAATCATTTGGATCAGCCTGCACTCTTGAAAGTGAATACATCAATTGATGCTGAGGTGTAAAGAAAGCAAAATGTTAATTTGTAGCATCCACGAAATTAACTACAGAAGGATTCCCTGATTTCTAAGAAGTATGAGGAATTTCAGAGAACATAAAATCTGAATTCAATTTTTATTGAAGGAAAACGGATTACATACATAGCGAAGGAAAAGAGACAAACCTCCAATTTAATGCCAAAAATTATTCACCAATTAAGCAAAGAGTAATGGATGCACAAAGATGAAAGTTGGCTAGTAATTAGGGGATGAACCACAGATAATTATGTAGAAGTCATGATCTCCGACAAAAGAAAATTATGGTTTTGAATTTTCTTTCTAAA